CGCCCAGGCTGCCCTCCACTACAGCTGCTCTGCCTACTGACTCTGCCAAGTAAGTGTCTCTCTGCACATTGCAGATCTTTGAGATGCCCGTGACATTTCTAGCATTGCTCATTTGCCACCCGCAAATTCTTTGAAAGGCTTGGTCTCAAGCTGTATTAAGTTCAATTGCTGCTGTAATGATGCGATCTTGGGTGTATTAAGGGAGATCAAGGTGGAGCAGCCAGATGCAGCGCTGGCAGGATCTGGCAAGAAGAAGAAGAAAAAGAGGCACCATGCAGAGGAGGAGGCCGCGGAGGCAACGCCGGTGACCGGGCTGCGCGTGAAGCTGCCTCGAAGGCAGGACTCTGAATCCCAGGTACCCTCTCAAGTCCCCTCCCAGCAGACCTGTTGTGCACTACCAAAGCATCCCTTTTGCAGCCTGTTGGTTCGGCAAAGTCAAAAATTGAGTTATGGATGTTGCTGCAGAGGGGCATTGAGGCAGAAGATGGCCTGCAGCCCAAGTCCAGGGGCCTGCCCAAGAGATGGCGCCGCACCGCAATTGACGCCATCGACTCGGTGCGCTTCTCCTGCTCACATGCATCCTTGCACCATTCTCCCTGCACCAGTCTTTCTCTTTACCTGGCTGCTCAAGCCATCCGTATCAAAATTAGCACCCGCTTTGAAGACACTGAGCTGCCATGGGAGACAGAAATGGAGTGGTGTTTACAACGTCCCAGCGCGGGTTTTCATGGATGTCAACCATCCGCACTGGTGTGCTGTACGGAATGCACTGACTTCATTTGCTTTCAGAGCTTCACACAGCATGCGCGCTGCAGGTGCTGGCATTGCCGGAGGCGGCACCATTTGCGGCGCCGGTGACGGATGACGTGGCGCCCGGCTACAGCAGGGTGGTGGCGCGGCCCATGGACCTGGGGACGCTGCGCGAGGCCCTGGAGCGGCGTGAGTACGCGCACCCGGCCGACGCCTACACCGACGTCCGCCAGGTGCGCGCTGATTACGCCCACTTTTTAAAAACTGCAGACCCTGCAGGCACAGAAAATTAAAAAATTAGCGGAGCTGCAGGCTGGACAGCAGCAGCTACCGTGGGCACCGCTAGGGCGAAGATTTCTTTGTCAAAAGCATAAACCTTCAATGGAAATTGTTATGGGCAACAGGAAAATCCTTGCGAGGGTGTCTCAGCTGCTGGTCATTGCACTGCAGCAGCAGCAAAGTCATTGCAAGCTTCTTGTTTTATGCAGCCAAGGATGCTGAAGACTCGTGCGAGGTGCTTCTCATGGGATGCTCGTGGGTTTGTTCGCGATTTGGGTTGAGGTGACCAGGGTGGATCTGGGGTTTGTGGCAGGTGTGGGCAAATTGCCGGGCGTACAACGCGGAGGGCAGCGACATCATGCGCATCTGCAAGCGCCTGGAGAAGCTGCTGCTGGCCGCCTGGAAGGACGCTGACCTGCCGCGCAAGCACCCCCAGCCCGCCGCCGATGCAAACGATTCGCAGGCCGGGCCCAGCGCTGTGCCGGCAGCTGAGAGCGCCAGAAGGAAGGGCAGGAAGGGGGCAGAGGCGACTCTGGCTGTTGGTAGGCCCTCCCCATCCCCTGCATGGTGTGCCAAGGGGGAAACAGGAGTTGTGCTGAGCTCTGAACCGCACCTCTGTCAGTGAGATTGACGGTGACAATTACCGGGGCAGTCCTGCCTGTGGTTCCGCTAGATTGTCAAGGTGACTTTGTGTAACAATTCTTGAAAGGGTGGTGTGCCACGCCGGGTCTGAATGCCAGACTTCAAGTCAGTTAATTGGCATGTGGCAGCTTTGCAACAATATGATGGTTGCAGTCAGTCAGTAAAGATTCCCTTGCAGGCGGCCCGGCGGAGGGATTAAAGCCTTCCGTGGCGGCGGCGGCGCTGGCGGCGGTGCGGAAGGTGGCGCGCAGCAAGGTGGGGGCGCTGTTCGCACAGCCGGTGATGGAGGAGCACGCGCCCGGCTACCACGCCGCCATCAGGCGTCCCATGGACTTGGGAACCGTCGCGCAGCGCCTTGAGGCCGGCCGCTACAAGTCCCTCGGTGCGCCGCTTGCTCAGCCGCTGGTCGTAAGTCCTGCATGGGTCGAATGATTTTCAGATGATCTCTACAGTTAGGTTATCTGGATTATCTGGGGAATAATATGCAATAATTTGCCGCAATTGTGATTTGTACAGCTGCGCATGCGTCACATGTCTGGTGTATCACTTTTGACGGGGATGTGCAGTTCTTGCAAATCTCTGTCTTCAGTTCAATTCAATTAAGCAATAAAGTTGGTCAGGGACTGCCAGTGAGCTTTTTTTGAAGCAGCAGTGGCTGTGGTGGCAGGGGCGGTGGCGGCCGATGTGGGACTGATCTGGGCCAACTGCCGGGAGTTCAACACGGAGGCGTCCGAGATAGCCGCCATTGCAGCCGAGGCCGAAGCCGCGTTCGAGCAGCGTTGGGCCAAGGAGGGCCTGCCCCAGCTGTCATCCCTTGGCCGCGCATCCAAGCGCACCCAGCAGGAGATGCCTGCCGTCAAAAACAAGAGCACCCAAGGTGCAGCCCCACGCTCTGCTGCCCAAGCTCGGCAGACTCCTGGCTGATCCAATAGAACTTCTTCAGTTGCTCATGAAAATTTTATTCCGATCCCAACATTTGGAGAGTCCAAGTGTTATTCATGATCCTCAGACCATGATGTACGTCTGCAGATGAGCAGCCGAGGCGGAAGAAGCGGCGCAGGGAGGAGGCGCCAGAACAGGACGCAGACGAGCCGCTGCCCACCTTCGGCAACAAGCGCCGGCGCGACAACGTCGGCGCCCACGACAACGAGGCCCCGGCAGAGGCCGAGCGGGGCGGCAAGCGGCGACGCGTGGGTGAGGAGTCTCTCCTGGCTGCCGTTGCCGCTGCCACCGAAGTCACCCCTGGCGACAAGTCCAAGGGGAAGAAGAAAAAGAAGAAGGGGAAGCGGGTGGAGTGGCCGCCGGCGTCTGCCGAGCAGCTGGCGGCTGCGGGGAAGGTGGTGCGCGCCGTTGCTCGCGGCGAGGCCGGCTGGCCGTTCGAGGCGCCGGTGACTGACGCGATGGCGCCCGGGTACAGCCGCGAGATCGCACGGCCCATGGACCTCGGAACCATCGCCAAGGCGCTCAAGCGTGGCGACTACACTTCCCTTGGTGAGCCCTGTACGCAACTTGGTTGTGTGTGGCATGGTCTGCAGCATCTGTGATGCAACAGCAGTGGAGCTGCAAATTTCATGCACTGGCCTTCCGATCAAGCAAACCAGTGGCTGAAACACATCAAGACACAAAGTAGCTAAATATATCTGCTATGGTAACCGAGGCTTCTGTCAATCTAGCAGCTGCATGCCTGCTAGTGTTTTGGACTATCTATGCTGGATTGTGAGGAATTGCCCTACCCCTGAGCCTTAATGATTCTGTTGGTGGTAATTAATGATTCGGTTGCTGGTAAACAGGCCCAGTGCTGGACGATGTGGCGCTTGTATGGGCCAATTGCCGGCAGTACAACGAGCCCACCTCCGACCTGCTCCCCCTGTGCAACGCTGCTGAGACTGACTTTGCCAGGCGCTGGGAGGCTGCTGACCTTCCCACAGGTGCTTCCCCACACACTCCTCTGATCAGTGTCATTTCAGTACCACTTGCATATTCATCTAGCATTCCGCGGGCTTCATTAATAAATTGGGTCAAATGATGTTGTGTGCTGACTTTCTGTGCAGAGCCATCGCCACAGTCCGAGCCAGGTCAGGCGCCACCTTCAGCTCCCTCATCACCAACAGAGGCGCTCACGGGCGCGGAGCGGCGGCGGCAGCGGGCTGAGCTGCTCGCGATCGCAGAGGCCGCCGACGCGGAAGCTGCCACTGCAGCTGCCTCGCAGGAGCAGCCTTCAGGCGCGCGAGAACGCAACAAGGGGCCCAGGGCGGCGGCGGCTGCTGCGGCAGAAAAGGCGGCTGCGGCCACGCCGGGGCCTACAGAGCGGTCTGGCGGCCAGCGGCCGAGCCGGCGCAGCCCTGCAGAAACCCCCGCGGCAGAGGCAGTTTCTGCTAGGCGAAGAAAACGTAAGATTATAACAGCCCCAGCGCTCTTTTGTTGTTACCATTGTTGATTGATGGCGATGCTTTGGGTAGCGGGCCCGTTCCAGTGTGGTTTTGGGTGGAGCCACATGATAGTGACTGATAGTGAATTTGTGCATGCTGTTGCAGGGGGATCTCAAGATCAAGAGCCAGAGCTTGCCGGGAGGTGGTCGCCTCGAGGGAGGGACAGCACCGGTCCAGAAGACGGAGGCGCTCAGCTGCAGATTGGGGCTGCACTGGGTGGAGCTGCGCCCAGTCAGGGGTCTGGCTCGCGAAGGAAAGCCAGCAGGGCCGCAGGCCCAGAGCCTGGTGGCTCAGTGGCAGCCAAAGGCGCCACTGATAAAGCTGGCGGTGCCGTAAAGCTGAAAGTCAGGCTCAGAAGAAAGTAGCTTCCAAGGGATGACGAGCTCCAATGGATCAAGCACTCGTGTTGTTTTTTTTTAAACACATCAGTTGTTCTTCATGTTTGTGCGCTGGGTCTCATTGACTCAAACAAATGAGATATATTTCCACCTGCACCTGGTGCTATTGACATCTTGGCCCAGTGTCTTTGTAGCGGACTAGTGATGAGAGGCCTTTAAAGATTTTGGTCAAATCCATGGTCTGTCAGCCCTGCCAGGGGCCTCCAGGAGTCCGGGCCTGTAATCCTTGAAGGGGTGCATGCACTGGCCAGTCCATGGATGACGCGCGTGTGCACATCATCACGTTGGGTGCTCATGAGGATAAAAGCTTCAAAGAAATTCTCTCCCTGTTCCTACAGTCACTTCAAGCCACTGGCCAGCCTTAAAGATCTGGCCTAGATGGGCCGCCTTAAATATTATTCTAGGGGAAGTTCCCATGCATGTGTTAGGTTAGATCGCCTCACACAGACACATGTGCACTTTCAGTCTCCCTCTCTTAAAAGGCGATTTAAATATTTCCAAGGCTGTTGAGCTTCATTACCAGTACTGAATCTAGCTAGAACATGCAGATACTGGCAGCTGTAGCAGCTGGGAGATCGTCAACACCCTTGCAAACAAGCTGAAGCCCACATGCACATACAGGCGTCCACACAATCAGGTGGCCAGATGCTGTCTACACTACTCAAGTCCTCACATAGTTGTCTGCTGAGAACCCCTCACAAGAATCAAAGCCACCTCCTGTCTGTCAGGACATATCCGCTAGACCTCCGGTCCTCAGGTAAACATGGATAGCAAGCCACACGCAACAATGTACAGACATGATTGATCAACTGGCAGATGTAAGCCGTCGGGCCTGGCTTGTTTTACTGGTAGCCGCGTGCAACAAACAGACCGCATGCAAACTTGCAGAAGCGATCGGCATAGGTCCGGGGGTCGGTGCAGGAGATCTGGCGGCTGTCTTCAAAGATGCTCTTGAAGGCATGCTCGCCCCTCTTGCGCAAGTTGTAGTGCTGCAGTCACACCACGCACCTCAGCACATTCTTTGGCAAGCCTCAAGAACGCAATGGGAGCCAGCTGCATATCAACGATGCAGTCCATCAGGAAATCAAACTTATCGATCCAGAGCGCATGCGCACAGTGCAGAAGATGTGCCGCGTCACTCGACAAGCAGAACGCGATAATTCATCCCACTGGCACTGCGGCTCACAGGTGCACTAGGCTAGCATCAAAGCTAGTCCTGTCTGCAGGAGAATCTGAGCACAGGCGGCAGGCACCTGCAGGAAGTCGACGATGCCAAAGAAGAGCAGCACGGGCTCTGCGTCCACGGCTGTGTCCTCCGGCAGCGCCATCGCGGGCACAGCCACTCCCAGCTGCGCCCGCAGAGCGCTGTGTAGGCTCATCATGCGCCCCTGAGCCCGCAGTCCGCTCGACCCTGCAATCATCCACATGCTCAAACGCTCAACACTCATTCAACAACAGCCTGCACTGTGCTCTGGAGGCAAAGGACATTCAAGTCCAAAGACGATTGTCGCCCATTGCAATGACCTGCATGACTGCTGGGGCAAGTGGCCATCCCTCACAGTCAATGGAACAGAGGCATGTCTACTATTGTTGCTTGGGAGAAACAGTGCAAGGAGATTCCGTGAGTGCAAGGGCTGTGATGATAGGATCAGGCACATGAACAAGCACCTGCGCTGACGAGTGAGGAACGTGAGGCGCCGGTCATGCCCAGCTCGATGCTGGCGCGGCGCTGCTGCTGCAGGTCGCTCAGGTCGATGGGTCCGCCCTCCCTCTTCCTGAACGACACCGCCTTGCCCCCCTTGCCGGGCTCATCGAAGCCCAGGCTGCTGGCCTGCACGCACACAGTGCTCAGGCATCAGCGCCGACACAGTCGACACCTCTGAACAGCAAGACACCGAGTCGCCCCATTCGGGGGTTTTCATTGCACGATGTTCTCAATAGATAAGCACTCAGTTGATTTGATTGTCACCAAGCTGACAGGTGGCATTCAAAGTAGTGCTATGCAATGAGAAAGAAAGGGCTTACTTCCAGGAACGGGCTCGGCAGGATGCCAGCAGCGCCTGGTGTGCTGCTCTGCATGGCAGCCTGCAGCTGCGTCGGAGCTGCAGAGGCCTCTCCCTGCACCACATATTTATGTCTTGATGCATGTTTGATGTCTTCGGCAAATGACAAGGTATGCCTCCAAACACCAGCAGGGGAGTCTGTCATGCTTTTCAGACATCAAAGCCTCCATGATACTGAGGAGAGTGGGCCCACCCCTCTACTGGCCACGCTGCCAGGTCCTGCCGGCGGGTGCGGAGGGTTACGCTGCTGCCGAGTCGGCTGCTGCCTGCTGTTCGCATCACCGACCGGGCCGTTGCCATGGCTGACGACACCTGGCGCTGATGTGGACGCTGTGCCGTTCTGCTGAGGGGCGGTGCTGCCGCGGACAACGCTAGCGATGCCCGAGCTGGGAACGTGGTTTGCAGGATTTGACTCCTCCCCATTGCTGCTGTCACGCGCTGCGCGGGCATAGTGCTCCTTCTGGTTGCGCTCCAGCAGCAGCGTGTCCACCTTGGTCAGCTGCCTGTGCTGCAGCTCTTCCTGCGCGGCCTTCTCCTTTGCTCCCTCGATCTCCTCCTCGCTCTTAGGCTCCTGGTGCAGCCCCTGCACCAGACACATGATATACCAGTCAGATGCAATGAGCGCCTGCACAAGGACAAGTTGCCATTCGTTGCATGTTCATGCTTTGGTTGTGCAGCGCAATGCCGTCCAATGGTGGGTGTCCTAGGAGTTGCAGCCGAGCAAGCCCGAGACTTTGGCCTTTGGCGAATTCAGGGTCAGGCAGCTTGAGGGGTAGTGCAATGGGGCGGCAGAATGGCTGGGGGACGCACCTTGTGGGGGGTGTGCGGGGGGTACCAGACGTTCTGGCCCCACTTGGGGTAGTGCACGCCCAGGAGCAGGGAGTAGTCCATGACGTGCATGCGCGCCAGCAGCGCCGCGTCCGCCTCTATCTGCCGCATCAGCGCTGCATGTGCGCCCTTTGCCAGCGCCAGCTTCATGTCCAGGTCCAGGTCCTTCGCACACCAATGCAATCACACACAGTCGACAGGCTGCAGGAGTTTTTGTAGCTCCGGCACATTCCACAATTTGCAGTGGTCAGCATGTCAGGACTGTCAATGCAACAACTGCTCATGTGTTTCATGGAATGGTCACCATCCTATCTGTGACTCCTTGCAGCTTGGTTCTTTTAAACATCATCGCGCCTGCAGCGGCATTAGCCTTGGGCTGTGCATGTGCAGTGGTTGTGCATGGCCGGTGAAGGAGCAACAAGACACGCAATCACCAGCCGGTAAGGAGTCACAGGAACGATGCTGACTATTTCATCAACGAAGATGACAGTGCAGGTGCAGCGGCAGGCAGGGAAGCAGGTGAGAGGGCCACCTTGAGGCAGGTGTCTGGGTTGTTCAGCTTCTTGGTGCCGACGGTGCGGCCCTGCGTGGAGCCCTTGAGGTCGTACTTGCGGTGCAGGCGCACCTCCGTCGGGAACACGCTGCCCATCACCACAAACCGCACCTGCCCACACACCCCTGGGTTCAGCCCAGCAGCATGACAATCTAGCAGAGGGGCCCACAGCTTTGCCTTAAGTGAAACTTGTTCGCTCATCCCAGATCAAGACAAGGGCGTGTCAGCTGCTTCACTTGCGTGCATGTCAGTGGAGACCGCAATGGGGACTTGATAGAGCACCACCCAAGGTGTCTTTCCCACGAAGAGCACATTCAGCCTGTGGCCACAAGCGGAGGCAGATGTCACCTTGGAGCCGCCCTTGGTGATGGACTTGATGCGGTGGACGCCGTAGAAGCGCGTGAGGAGGGTGGCCGGGTGCTCGACGCAGTGACGGTAGTAGGCGGGAATGAGCTTGAGCAGCAGCAGCATCTCCTCGTGCGACACCGTCTTGATCATGAACCGGTCGTCGCCCGACAGGAAGAACACGCTGCCGCTCTTGCCAGGGCTCGCCATCTCTCGCAGCGCCCTGCGCAGCACAGGTTAGAGTAGTAGCTCGTCTGCAGGGAGTGCCGCATGTTGTCTATTCTCGACAGTGGCAGGTGCGCTCTTTTGGTCTGGGGTGCTGGCACAAGCATTTGATGTTGCCAGGTTGCACAAGCTATGCGCTGTAGATGCGGGAAATGCTGTTCGCAGGCATTGGTGTCAGTATTGCAGGGACATTAATTGCATGTATGAGTTCATTGGTCATGCGTGTCTAAAGAACAGCAGGACGGCTCACTGGTCGCCAGTGAGGGAGAGCAGGTAGTCCTTGTTGTCTATGCCAAAGGTGTCGCGCAGGCGGTTGAAGATGCTGGGGGAGTAGTCCTTCCACTTGAACGACACGCTGTGCTCGCCTCGGGGGAAGTACTGCGTCACCTGCACCCCAAGACTTTCCTCCGCTCATGAAAATGTCACGGCTGCGGTGACAGGCTACACTTATGACCGCAGTCATATGCGCAGCTGCGCCCCTGTATGCAGGTGCAGCATGGCGCTTGAGCAGTTCCAGCAAAGAGGCAAAGAGCCCTTTATAGCAGTGCAGCAAGCCTCAGGCGTCAAAGAGCACTGCCTCACGTGAGAACAGGAAATATTTCAGATGGGGACTGTTCAAATTTAGGCACCTGCTGCAGGAACTCGTCCTCCTTGGCGGGCCCAGCATAGAGCCCGTCAGAGGCCTCCTTGCTGCTCCGTGCGATCGAGAACATGATGCCCATCTGCAAGTTGCGCATGAGGTCATAGCTGCGGTGGCCCTTGTAAATTGTCTCCCCTGGACGTGCTTCCTTATTCTGCTCCTGCTTGCCACCAGAAATCAGGAATCACAATAGCTCGTTGGAATGCATTCGTCTATACCTTTGCACATCTCTGATAAGAGCATGAGTACACAGAAAGCAGCACAGAAGTGCAGCCACCCACATCCCCCTTGGCCACAAGTATGTCAAAATTGAAAGCAAATGTGCCATCCTGAGGGTCCATCACCCATGCCACCCTTGTAATGGACAGACAGACAGTGTGTTCTAGTATGTCTCGAGTGTGGGGCTCACAGACCTTGGCACTGGCGCGCTTCTCCTCAGAGCGCAGCGTGCGGTCGGCCTTGACCTCATTCTTGTGGTGGTCCACGTGGCCGATGCGCAGCACGTTCTCCTTCCGCAAAACACCCTCCGCATAGTCGCGCATTGTGATCACGTCAGCGCCCGACGCCGGCTTGTACACCTGAACAACTCCAGCCCAGCCAGCTGAGAGCCACAATCTCAACGCAAGCAGAGCATCAGATATACTGTAAAGGCAAGCAAAATCTGAGAAGCTGTCAATGTGGTGAAGGATGCGCACCCCTTCCCCATGCATCTTCCCATCAGCCCAGAAGCCGTAGAAGGTGGACCCATCCACCTCTATCAGCGTTCCCACGCCATGCTCCACCCCATCCTTCCACTCACCCTCATATCGCACCCCTGCAGCAGTGTCATCTCCTCTTATGCCTGCCCAAAGGTTTGGCAAAAGAGACACAAAATTCTAGTTTCACATGGCGTCCTGCCTGCATAAAAACTGCATAAGGACTCAACGAAGACTTGGGTGTCGAGCAGCGTGTGGGGATTGCGCACCCGAGGGCCAGACATAGATGCCGCGGCCCTTAGCAAGGCCGCCCTGCCACTCGCCAAAGTACTCGCCGCCGTCTGGGAACTCATGGTGCTGCTCCCCCTCCACTCCCTCCGCCGCAATTGGGCCGCGCCCGGGCGGCACCGCTGGCACCACCGCAGCCGGCTTGGACAGGCTGCCCCGCGTGGACCCAGCCACCGCCGTCCCTGGCTCGTCATCCGTCTCCTGTTAAGCAGCAAGCTTACACATTTACATAGTGTACACTGTACAAAGTGTGGTGGGCATGCGCAATGTATTTCCCTGATGGAAGGAAGTTGATGAGCTTCATGACATGGGGCCTAGGCCACAATATACCAGGGTGCTGAGAAATCAGCTGGCAACTCCTCAGCAGGTGCCAGTGATCATCGTTGTGCCGACAGCAGGTGCAATCTTGGCTGATGCCATGGGGACGGAAAGGAGGTCAGGTGCTTGCAAGGGTGCCTACCTCAGACAGATCATGGCTGCTGCTCCTGACCTGCTTAGGCGTGTGCACCTGCTCTGGCGTCTCTGGGGCTGACTTGCTTCCCCCATCCGCTGCTGTCACACCAGGCACTGGCGGCGCTTTGCTGACAGCGGCTTTCTTATTTGCCGTGATAGTTGGCAGGCTGAACACTCTGCCAGCTGTCACTCTCTCGCGCCGTTTCTGTTCCATGCTCATCAGCCGCAGGAAGGTCAGGTATGCCGCCACGCACGCCAGCAGAAACACCGCCGCCATGCTAAGGAGGATGAGCGCATCAGGACCTCCCTGTGTCTGCCCTCGCCCACTTGATTCTGCCAGCTGTGCAGCAGTCACTGGAAATATACTCTGCCCTGAGGTGGAGGGCAGTGCCGCCTCTGCTACATCTGCGAGCCGCTCTGGGAGTGAGGGGGACGCTACCACGTCCATTGCGCCCAGTTCGAATTCAGGCACGTTGCTTCACGCTTGCCCCATGAACGCAACAGGCCTGCAGCAGACCAGCATCTGGTCAGGAGCAAGTCCTCTATACTCGCACGAATTTCTGCTGCTTGATACAACATGCGCCTGAAAAACACATATGTGCCCATCAGAAGTAGAAAACCCCGTCGTTTTCTCGTGGTTTCAGCGTCCAAGGGGGGGGATTGTGGATGTAAGATTAAAGGTGCCCTTGGTGATTTTGCGAGACGCCATGCAGATCACAAGTACAAAAACTATCACATGGTAAATGACTATCAGGACAATACGAGTACGCTTGGGGAAGACCTGCTGCCCGTCGAAAGATGCCTACCTAGCTTCAGTGAGCATCTCGGTTCCCTATTGAAAAATTGTCCAGGGCCAACAGCATGAGGACGAAGGCTCATGCAGTGTTAGATGTGCTTGTACTCTACACCACAAGCGGCCCGTGAAGCTTTCAACGGACCACTTCCAATAGCACACTGATTGCAGCTTTAGCAGTTTTATCAGCAGCACCAGAAATAGGGGATTTCTTCAGCAAGCCTGTATCAAATCAGGACTACCTCGCTTGAATGTTGCTTTGTTGTTTGGAAGAATTTACTGTCTGTTTTGTGAGTTCAAAGCAGTTTCCTTCGGGTCGTTAATATATCGAGACTTGCATGAATCGGCTCAAAGCTCACATTCAACAACCTTTCGTCCAGTTTTGCTGGAATGCAGCTTCAAATCTAAGTGCACTGCATTTTGGTACTAATCAGATCGTGCGACCGAAAAAACATAGGAAGAAGCCGAAAGTTCCTGGAGATCTTCTCCTAGCTTCCTTTGTTCGCCTCAGAATTGACACTAGCAAACCTTGTACCGATCGATAGCAGACTACTTCTTCTTTTCTTGATAACATTCTCGGAGGCAGGACGAGTTTCAATGAGCTAAGGGAATTGACAGCGTTTGACCTCTGTTTGACCAAAAGGTGCGAGCTTCAATCTGGCTGCTCTGTCCATCATCGAGTCATCAAGAGCGCTCTTTAAAAGGATTATTCTGCATGATGCCCTTGCAGCGCTTTGTCTGCCAATGCAGTCGATGATACTTACCTGAGCTGTGCTGGCAGTGACCCCCTTCTTGCATCCTGTATTCACTGAACAATTTAAAGATGGGAGAAATTGCCTTCCTAAGGGTCCCTGCAGTATCAACAGTGCATACACGAGTGTTGCAAACCTGTGCTTAGCCGATGCGTGACATTTGCAGAGGTGCAGTTGACTGGGCCAGAGGGTGGATGTCGCTGAAGAGGGGCGAGGGCCGGTCTCTGTCTCTGACGCTGCGTCGCGCATCGGCACAGTCAGCCAGCACATCCGGCTACAGCAGGCATCAGAAGAAATTTCCCAATGGTGACACTTACACTGGCGGCTGGCGCAACGGTCTTCCTGAAGGAGAGGGGCGCTATTGCTGGGCCGATGCGAGCACCTACAAGGGAGGCTGGAAGGTGAGCGCCTGCCTCAACATGCAGCTGCTCCCACGTGCACATCTTATCGTCCTAATTGCAGCAGATGCATGCTACCCCTGTAGATTGGTGCCTCAAGCACCACTCCACGTGGCAGGGAGACCAAATCTTGTCATGACATTGCCTGGATAAGCAACATGAGTTGCGAGGAGACACACCTAATGTTTGCTGAAGGATGGTGATTGTCATCTGCAGAATGGATCAAAACATGGCCTTGGCACTTATACATGGCCCAATGGCGCCTCCTACAAAGGAGAATGGCAGAATGGGTGCATGCATGGGGTCGGCTCCTTCAAGTCACCGGATGGAACTTGCTATGAGGTAGGTGGTTGTCTGGAACCACGATTACCCTCTCATCATTGCTGTGCATGAGGCAACCATTCACATGATGCTGAGGACCCGAGATTGGTGCTCTTGAACGAGTGTTGACTTTGGCCTGGGTACTTTGCAGGGCGGCTGGGCGCAGGATCTGAAACAGGGATTGGGGAAGAAAGTGTATGCAAATGGTGACATCTATGAGGGACTGTGGAAGGCCGGCAAGTGCGAAGGCCCTGGCAGATACAGATGGAAGAATAGGAATGAGTATGATGGAGAATGGAAGGCTGGACGGATGCATGGGAAGGGCACTCTCAAATGGAACACAGGTATGTTGCAGGAGTTCTACTATTGCATTGATGCTGTGATTATGGATTGACTCAACATAAGTAATGTTACACATCACAATGTCTACACTGAATCCGCAAGGCAACACTGCGATTTTGATGTGCGGTGGTCATGATCAGGTGACCGGTACGATGGGGAGTTTAAAAATGGGCAGGAAGATGGAATAGGCATCTTCACTTGGGCAGATGGTTCTACCTACAATGGGTTCTGGAGAGAAGGCTGCAAAGAGGGTGTGGGCGTGTACCGGCCTGCCCCAACAGAGAACAAAAGGGCAACAACACCCCTGGAACGCCATACAACGCAGCCTGCAGGTCAGCAACGCTCATGCTCTCGCCCTTGCACCCTTTGCTACTTGTTGAAGGACTCAACTCTGCTGAAAGACCCAGATGTCCTCAATAGAATGTGGTGTGCTGTCGTCAAGCATGTCGAACATTGCATGCGGTAATCTTGACCCTTTATTTCTGCAAGCAGCTGCCGCGCTGGCGAAGGAGAGCGCCGAGGTGGAGGAGGTGGAGGGAGAAGGGGATGCCCCATCACCGCGGGGCGGCCACACGTCGGATGCATCAGGTCAGCCCCTGTTGCGGACGGCTTGGCCTCACAGGGATGCATCTGGTCCAACCCATCGTCACGGGCCATTAATTGCTCTCCAGTGTGCAGCAGTGGCTGAACCCGTGCCAAGATTGATAATGGTGGGCTCTGTGCTTTTTTACAGACGATTTGGAGGAGGTGCCTGGGAGGGCAGCCGGGCGGGGTGACCGGGCAGAGCGGGTATTTGTGCGGGAGTACGAGGCGGGGCGGCTGGTGCGCGAGGACCCCATCGCACCCGAGGAGCTGGAAGCCGTGTTTGGCCCCTTCAGACGGCGCGCAGACCGAGCCGAGCGGCGCCAGCGGCGCAGGAGGCGGGTGAGCGTCGGCTGCCTCAGTCCTTTAACTTGATTATTTGATCCAGGGTAGTGCAGAATCTCGCCTGACTGCCTTCACTGCTAGGGTACTTGTTGCTACTTGATTGGTATATGCCCCCCGGACAGTCATGGCAACGTCTGTGATGCTGGTACAGATAAATCAACAAGGATCAGAGGTAATGTTCTCTTGCAGGTTGCAAATAAGCTAGGGGAGACCATATACAAGGGCCACCGCAGCTACGACCTCATGCTGAACCTGCAGCTGGGCATCCGGCACAGCTCGCAGCAGGTCGCCAAGGAGCCGCCCCTGAAGCAGCTGTCTGAGGAGCACTTTCAGCAGAAGGTGTGCTGTGCTATGCATCACCAGCTGCACATCACGCCTTGCTCCTGCGGAATTTTCAACCAAAGGTCATTGTGACTGCCAGCTGATGCACTGCATCGTAAATTGTTGGCACATCCTGCGCATGCTCAACTTAAAAATGTGGGAGGAGCATCACTAGCTAATAGTGATGTGGCACTCTGCTCTGCCCTGCATGTACAGTTGAAGCAGTTCTTCCCTCGGGATGGCAGCAAGGCGACCCCGCCACACCCATCGACAGACTTCCGGTGGAAGGACTACTGTCCCATGGCCTTCCGGCAGCTTCGAGAGGTGTTCAACATCGAGGCCGCCGAGTACATGAAGTCTATCTGCGGTGCGCAATTATCTCCACATCAAGCCTGTGTGCACCTGTGGTGTCAAAGCACTTCCTTGGCAACTCATGCAGCTTGACAACAGGAAGAGGTGTGCAAAAGGAAGTCATACCAGTGAAGTGCTATGTGTTTTGTGTGCACACAGGTGACCAGGCATTGAGAGAGCTGGCTTCGCCGGGCAAATCTGGCAGCGTCTTCTTTGTGTCGCATGATGACAAGTACATGATCAAAACCATGCGCAAGGTGGGGCGCCCCTCTTTGCTGCAATGCACAGTCTTGATGGCATTGGAAAACTTTCTTGGGAAAAACTACAACAAGTGCCAGATCTCGATTTATGTCATGACTAACATGCAATGCTTGCACAGGGTGAGGTGAAGCTGCTGCTGGAGCTTCTGCCCAAATATGCGGCACATGTGGAGAAGCACCCCCACACCCTCCTGGTCAAATTCTTTGGCCTCTACAGGGTCACGCCGGAGAATGGCTCGAAGGTGCCCAATCCATTCCACCTATATTTTGTCATGGGCCTTCTGAGTGAGCAATATGCTGCTGCAGATTCGAAACTGCAGCTGTTCCCAGACTCACTCTGAAGCAATCAATTAACAGCTCCTCAGGATTGCATTTGGCCTATTGACAAACCAGTTGGCAAGCATGTTGTCTGCGCGGTGCAGGTGCGGTTCATCGTCATGAACAATGTGTTTCAGAACGCGCTGCCCATCGCCAAGCAGTACGATCTGAAGGGCAGCACGCAAGGGCGTACCTCCGCCACAGACGCTCCCCGGCCCGCCACCATCCTCAAGGACCTTGACCTGGACATCAAAGTGAAGCTGGAGGAGGGCTGGCACGACAGGTGGGTCCCACTGCCATCCTGCATCTGCAGCTGACGTGAGATGAGGCCCCTGCAGATCCGCTCTGGCACTGCCATGCAGATCCTTGCAGGGCATTTCCAACCCTCCAATAGTTGCATGGAAGTTCCTGCACTTTCAGGTTGGCTGCCTGTATCTGAGTGTAGTGTTTTTAGTCAAGTCGGCACATTGGTACGTTGAGCGCCTACTCACGTGCAGCAGATTGAAGTACCCTTGAGTGCTATGAGAGCGGGTGAGCAGTGTCTCAGGCTGTGCGTGCCTGGGTGCGCAGGCTGATGGACCAGCTGGCAGCGGACTGCGCACTGCTGGAGGAGCTGCGCGTGATGGACTACTCCCTGCTCCTGGGCGTGCACTACCGCTCCACCGGCTGGGCCTCCTCCCCGCCCGCCACCGACAAGGTCATCCAACACACCTCCTGGAAAAACATTCCTGTGCTCATGGCTTTATTGACGTTGGCTCTTCGCTCAGGCAGACACAGCAAGAATTGCCAATTGCATACTGAACAAGGAGCTTTGTGCAGTAGGTTCTTCCATTGTTGTCAAATTTTCTTTATATCTATGGAGAGGTTGAGCGTGTCAAGCATGGATGACTGTGCGCAGGAGGATGAGGGTGATGATGACGGTGATACGCCGCACGCGCCAATGAACGGTGGCGTGCTCGCCGTGCTGCCGCAGCGCAGCGCGCAATCCACCACGGACGGCCCCGAGTCCCCGCAGCAGGCGTCGCCGCTGCGCGCCGCCGGCAGCTCCGCCCTCGGGACCATGGCCGACGCCGACGCTGAGGTCGAGCACTTTGCGCGCCTGCAGGTGCACCCCCTGTTGAACCCCTATTGCACCCATGGCCATGGGATGGACCCTCTGTAAGGCCACATCAGTGCTGGGCCCTGCTTAAGAAAGTCAGCGCGCCTTCAACAAGAATCTCAGAGATGTTGGGGTATTTTGTGGATCAGAGTGCGCATTGCTGTGGTGCAGGCGGCGAAGGAGGCTGAGCTGGCGGCGGTGCGAGCGCGCATAGAGGCGTCGTTGGGCGCGGGGGTGAGCGGCAAGCGGCTGGCGGACCTGATGAGCCTGGCGCAGTTCCAGATGCTGTCGCGCGACGCCCACGCCTTCCGCTCCCCCACCTTCGTCCTCTCCATGCGGCCTCAGCGCTCCGTCACCATGAGGTGCGCCACTCCCTGCCATTCTTGTCACAGCTCTCTATCATTTCAAGATACCTTCACACCAACACATTCCTCTCCCTAGTGTTGGAAGGCGACTGTGATAAGGGAGCCTGTTGTGGAGCATTCCGGATCTTGACTGCAGAGAATGAACAATAATCGTTGAGCTTGTGCGCATGCGTGCAGGCCAGTCGCTTTCAGCGCAGGGGCTACAGACGAGATCAGCCACAGCATGGGGCAGCAGCGCACGCAGCTGGGCATGAACGTGGTCGGGACCGCCTTGCCGGCTGACGCAGATTCCAACGCGACGCCCGAAGATGTCGTCCTCTACTTTGGCATCATCGACATCCTGCAGGTGTGAGCATTGCAGGTCTGGGCATTGGAACTAGTTGATAGTTCAGCACCTAATCTGAAAAGAAAACACTCCAAGGTGAGTGCAGAGCATGCTTCTTTCTCATCTACCTGACAGTGTGATTTGAAGCCTCCCCGTGCATGACAAACGGCCCTGCCATGGTGTAGGAGTACAACATGACCAAGCGGCTGGAGCATGGCTACAAGTCCATATTCAACAATGGCCGCACTATCTCTGCGGTAGACCCAAAGCACTATTCCCGGCGCTTCCAGGATTTCCTGAAGAAGGTGTTTGTGTAATCATGCACAACCTGCGTGCACTTCTTTTTCTTTTATGCTCATAAGCAGAGCTATCATAGCAGTTCAGGGCACTGCTTACTTAAAGTATGAGAGATGTGATCGCGCTGCTTTGCGGTACAATGTACGAATGCCCAGGCGTCACAGCTAACATTGATGATACGGGGCAGGAAGACTCCTGAGAAAGTGTCACACCTCCCGATAAGCATGTGCCGTGTTGAGGCCTTTTGCTTTTCTAAAAGCCTCTAATGAGACTTATAGGCAGTCACCTTACTCATCGTGGTACCGGTAATTAGTGCAGAGAGCGGTCCCGCAGGCCTAGCACAATGCACTGTGAAGTACAATCATGATGAATCCAGCACGCGTGGAAGTCCTTCATAATGTCTTGCCATCTGACTTCTGGGGGGACGGTGTGATCAATTGATGTGAGTGTCTGCCTCAAGCTGATCAAATAAATGCATGAAGGAGCCTCTTTTTCACATATGCATGAATCTACGGCTTAAGGCTTCAATTTTATGATGATTGCAATTGAGGCTTCATGAAGCTTTGATCCAGGTATTGATGAACCCAGATGCCCTTACTGCAGATGTCCCAATGATTGTGACTGTCACTCTCCATGTCCTGTCTCATATGCCCAAACTAAGGCCTAAGGGGGGAGGGGACGCCGTTTTCCTATCACATCCTTCCTCGTCATGCGTTACAGATTTCTCTCTCCTCTCGACATCTCACTTTCTCTCGACATCTCTCTTTCTCTCGATATCTAGAACTTCTCAGCTCTCTTAAAAGAGCACTATTTAGTAGCCAGCTCTCTTGCAGGCTTTGTTCTCTTGGGTGAGGAGCAGAATACCCTGCTAGACATTGCAATTAGAGCAGGAAGCTTTGTGGCACATCCAGTTAAGCTCTTGTGGTTGTGATGTCAGAACTCGAATAGGATGACTTCATACAGGGATCAGTTATTTGTTTGATACAGAAGCTTCAACAGGACCCAAACCTTGCAAGTGTCTTCGCATCCGGGTGCGTCCAAACCTAGAAAATGATGAACTCAAGATCGTGGCCTGCGTCCTACCTTGTCCACGTGTAAAAACTTCCGTGTGACTCAAATGGTCCCGTTGATAGTTTGCACGCAGTGTCCCGGTCACCTTTGCTTGAAAAAGCGACGACGGGCTAGTTGTGGTCACCAGCTTGAGAACCTCAGAATCTGAACGCCCTTGCAGGCACCTGGAGGCGAGGACTGCAAGTCAAAGCACAAGAATGCACGCAAAAACAAATCGATATGTAGCGCTCAAGATGTTCGCGCCGATGGGCTGTCTTGACCTACTGTCAGATGACGAGTCTGCAGACTTACCCGCTCCGTCTGACACAACCCAGCATTCAACTGGTGAGGCTTGATGGTCCACTGCCTTTGATAACCTATATCATTGCAAAAGTTCTGCCGAATGTGCACATCGCGAAAGATCCACTGTTGAAGGCTGACCAAACGCAATCTTTCGCGTTCCCAAGATGCAGCTGCACAATTTACAGCCCGCTGTCTACCTCTCGAAGAAAAAAGCTCAGAAAGCTACCATATTTGATGACATGCTATGACGTACTCTTTTTCATCCGGCTGTCATGGCTTGTGGAGTGCAGGCGTCCGAGTTCAACCAATGCCCGTTGACGACCTAGAAGACTCGGGGGCTCAAAGCCAGCAGACCATTTTCACACCTCCAGCCAGGTAAATCCTTTGCGTCTACGCTCCCGCTTGCTTGTTGGGCTCTAAGGGTATCATGAGAGCTGATGGTGCTTCTGAACAGGTAGATGCAAGACTGTGCGTGATCGCAGGCATTGCACAAGCAAACACCGCTTGCAAACGCGGAAGACCCCCATGAAGGCCTCCATTCCAAGTGCTTCTGTTGCCTCATCAGTGCCAAGAGCTCTTTGCGCAGAGTATGACTATGGCATCCCGGACTGGTCCGAGCAAAGGCACAGAGTGGACTCTCTAGCTAGCACTGCTTCGGAGGTATTGCCATGTCCAAGATGTGCACAAGATTCATCTTGTCTGCATCGAGCATGGTGTCAAGCTATTTGTCCTGTGCTTGTCTAGTTCCAAGACACACTGCAACCTCTTCTTCTTGGGAGGAACAAGCAATTAAAAAACGCAATTGTGGTCGAAACTCTGTCTGACATGCATGGTGATTGTCTTGCTTGTCCTGACTTTCAAATTCTGTGTTGTGCAGGCTGCCTCAGTCGCATGCGCAATGCCATTGGCCACCCTTCTGCCCAGGCGCACAATCCTGAAGAAGTAACCTCGCCCCGGGGCCCCAACAAGTCCAGCGCAACACCATGCTAGTGGCCAATCCAGTGGAAGTCAGTCCAGCCGTGGAAGAGGTCGGCATTAAATTCACCATCCTACAAGTCATGGCCGCATACGCAAACGGAAAAGCAAACCCCCTTGTGAGGCGACTAATCAGATGGATCTTGGAGACCATCATGCGCACATGTGCATGCCTCATGAGGATCATGTATATTATCTGTAGAATTGACCCAACAGTTCTTCATGAGAATATTCATGTCAGGGTGTGGCGGCAATTAGTTGACTAAGAAAGGATGAGCAGACAAGTCCATGACGAATGAAAAGACATTGGAAATCCATGATTAATTTGGGCGCATCTAACATTTTGCAAGAAAACATGTAGGTCAGTATTCAATCCTTGGTTCTTGATTGCCATTGCACTTCATGTTACATTTGCAGCACATTCGCATGTTCATCTTTCGGCAGGCAATTGGGATTTCAGTCATTATTCAATCATGTTGATCAATTGCACCTGTCCAGTCACGTTTGAAAGATATGTGCACTGTCATCAATATTGTTTGGCTGCTACCGTGCTAGCACATTCACCCCTTGTAAGGTGAGTAGTTACTCACTGATAATGTAACAAATTCTGAGCCATAATGAGGTCAGGTTTTCTGTCACGAGCATGAAAACGTGCCAGCGCTGCGGCATTAAATATACTGCAATACTCCAGACACCATGCATATGACTCTGCGCATGGCAATGCCAGGAGATCTCAGATCTGTGTTGAGCCGCAATGCTTATTGGCAGGTTTTAAGGATATTCTCTTTTCAACAGTACCCCAACTCCTTCCACAATGACTTCTTTCAGATATCTTGTCTCGTAGCAACCAGGACTTCTCATGGAAACACTACTACGTCCCGGTAATGCCATCATGCCTGGCAGACTTCAATGCCGGTCCATGCTTCGCAGCGTCACAGCGGCAGCAGGATTCACTCTGTTGAGGCCTTGGAATATCCACAGCTTGAAGAAAGCATCCATTGTAACAGGCACAATGGCCACAAAAATGTAGATGGGTGCTTCCTGTGCAGCAACACCTCACGATCAGGGAAGGACACAAGCTACGAGGGGGACTCATGCAAGGCAAATTGACCATAGCCACAACACAACCCATGAAGTCATAGTACGGTATAGGTGACTTTCACACGTAAGCAAGTCTGAATGCAGCAAGAGGTTCACCTCGACCTCCAGACCATAATGGCCGGTGAGCAAGTGGATAGCAGCGGTCCACCCCTCCTCAGAATGGTACCCTAGGAGAATATCAGTGCCTGCAAATGTGCAAGCTCATGCTGTCAGTACCAGCTCAGCGCAAGCTGCACTGCAAGAATGCACCTCATGCAACAATGAAGAGCGCCCGAGCAATCAGGCAGTGCGCGTCCATTGCGGCAATGATAATATGAGCACGCTTATTGCGTCACCAATCCACTTTTGCAGGCTCGCTGGGTGGCAAGAGGCCGTCATCAGGCGAGGCGTACTTGCAATGATGAGGAAGGCCTTGGCGGTGTCGGAGAAGCCGGACAAGAGTCGGCCGATGGTGCGGAAGAGCGCGCCGCGGCCGTCCGAGTTGCGCAGCAGCAGCGCAAAGCCCGTCAGCGCCGTCGTGCTGTCAGACAGCAGGTTCAACAGCGCCGTGCGGTTGTGCGCCCGGAACTCCTCTGCCAGGTGCAGCGCCTCCCTGCGCAGCTCCATCTGCCGGCACATGTCCTTCAGATCACCTGGCTTAAGTGTTACATTAGTTTTGCGTTATGCTCTCAACATTGACCAGCTCTTGCGCTTCAAGGCGGGACAGCAAATGCCGGTGCTTGACACCTCGACAGCTCAACGCAATGCACCGTGTGAGCGGAAAACACGTAGATCTGGTGAGTGACCGGCAGTGACATGGGGACAAGGGCAGGACAGGGGCTGACCTGCATCTCCAGGTCTGAGATGGCGGGCGCGCGGCCAATGGCGGCGTCCATGCGCAGGCGCATCTCGTGCTTATGCACCAGCTTGGCACCTTCAACCTGAGTCAGCAACAGGCATTACAGATCAGCAATCACCAGGGCCATCGTGGCCAAGGAGCAGAGCAGCCATCAGGCACATGTCGAGACGCCGCCCTGCACTTGGTCCAGGAAGTCCTCCCTTCCAAGGGCAGTGATTGCTAGTTTTGGCACGTGGAAAAGTGTTCACTCCCACCTTCTCGCGCTCGCTGACGGCAAAGATCTGCGGATTGTAGCGCTGAGCCACTTCGTAAAAGGGCTCTGCCAAGATGCGGCTCACCGTGAAGCCCACGATAATTGGGACTCCAATGAGCACACCTGCGTGCGAGCCGCCACATCAGCACACACATACTGCTGCAGAATAGGCGATGTGCCACAAACAGGGGCTCCTGTGCTCCTGATTGCCACAACTGCCTGCATGCTTGAGTTACACTGCCATGTCAATACAAAAGCAGCAAGAATGTGGCGTGCCCTGCCAGGATGTCACCAGCAAATTTGAGGGCCGCCAACGACTCGCGCTGGTTCTCCTCAAACTCTTCCCTGATGTCCTCTGTCATGTCATCCTCGTTGAGGCCGATGCGATACTTGATGCCTGTCGCATCCACCATCGGACGCAAGTACTCATCCCTGGGCGGATCCTGCGCGTCCCTTCGCCTCCTGCATGCACCCGCCATCATCTCTCCAGCATCCTTTGCATGCAGCCCCCTTTGGCATTGTAGATGCCAAGGCAGGATTCCTGTCTTAGTCCTAGAGTGCCAAGTCCCACCGCAGGCTTGATGACACGCACACTTCTCGCACAGGGGTATCTGCTAAATGAGTACGTCTTTCCAGCAGGCAAAACAGGATAAGAGGAACAAGGCTTTCTGACCAACTGCCTGGCCACAAAACCTTGCATGCGTGAGGTGATCCTTTCTCAGTGGAGTCAGTCAAGGAAGCTGGGCTGGGCAGAAGACCAGCTTCAAGGGCAGAGAGTGGGAGTGACATGCACCTGCCTCTCCTTCTGGAGGACTGGCTGCGCGATTTGCCATTGCGGCGGGCTGCTTGAGCCTCATCCACCCAATCTGACAGCACCTTTGGATCTCCCCAGTCCCCCCAATCGTCCCAGTCTTCTTCTTCTGAAGCTGGATCCACTCCAGGAGGACCTGGTGGTGGTTTATTATTGCTAGCCCCATCGCCGCGCCCCCATCCCCTGTCCCTCCTCGCTGCCCCAGCGATGACAGGCCTGCACCCAGACACGTTGGCTCCCTTCAGTGCAAAGTGATGTGCACAATCACAATATTGGGATGTGTTTAAAGGAAGTGAACTTCCAATGATCATAGCATCAGTGTACATGAAGACGTTCATACCTTCTTTGTCTGAGCATTTTCCTGTGCAATATTGTGCAGCAGCCTGAGGACTGCGATCGGGAAGGGGTCGTCCGAGATGACACAATTTTTGTCCTCCATAATGACGTTTTGATGCACATCCGGCCAGGCAAGGGCTGGGGTAGTTCGTGAAGGATCCGCCAGCAGTGCGTATGAGTTTAACCTCCCGAGGAAATTTCCATTCATTGATCTGAATTCACGAGCACTACAACCTTCATAGCATCACTTTCAATATGCTGATTTGTACCGATTACACATATCTACCACTTCTCAAAATATGAAGAGCTCCAATTGTGATCTGGAGTGAACAGGCGCTGGCCACTTGGAACAATCAAGTAACCTGACTCCTGAACTTCTGAAACTTATTTCTCACTTGGGCATATATTCCACCTTCATATCGAAAGGAAGGATCGAGTGACCTGTCCTTTGTAAGCACTGCCCTGAACAGGTTTCTGTACTTTCTCAGGGAATTAAGCAGGTGTGGAAAGTATCGATATGCAAGGCGGAGCACGATGAGTTGACCAGAGCCATCCTTTCCTTCCATATTTTTCTTTAAAGCACACAGCATCCATATGTTCACTGCGACAGTGTCTCAAAGCGCGACCGTGATCATCCGACGACCCTGGGATATAGTGTCTCGAAGAATTGTCCACTTTTAGTACATCACTTGAATCAAAGCAATCTCCGTAGTCACACAGGCCTTAGTACCTGTTGTCGATATCAATTAGGAACCAAAATCTACTTAGATCCGCATTCCAAGTCTTGATTGGCACACAACCCAAGCAGTACTTGTGAACGAAGCTGGACGTGTGAGCCTGCCAGCAAAGCACTGCGAAGAAAATTGCAGGGAAATCAAGCCCATGCAATTGCACCCAATGTCTGAGGATATTGAGCTGAGGTTCCGGCATACCTCTGGAGACATTGGACCCATTAAGTGTGCGGGGACAATGAGTGTGGAGGCAGTCAAAGAAAGGCTTTTACCAGAGTGGCCGAAAGGTGTGTGCAAGATCATTGACACAGTATGTTCGGTACGACTGTCCTGTATCTAGTTCTGGAGAACGGGTCGAGGTTGCTGGCTCGAACTGTGCCTTCTCACATTGCCTTAGTGAACCCGAATTCTCATGGCACACTCGAGAATGCACATCCAACGTGGGTGTCCTGTGCTCGAGATCGAGCTGGTATATGGTGGATCGAACTAACTAACAGTGCACACCATCTGATAGTTACCTGTGTAAGAGTGACGACTGCCTTTTCACTGCAGAGGGACCAGTGCACGCCGACCAACCCACCAGCATAACAGACCTGAAGCTTATACTGGGAGGAAAGTTCTTGGAAAATGGAGAAATCTTGAACGGTGCTCCCTCTGTCCGTTCACCAGCCTCACAGCATGTTTGCTTGTGCTGGGTTGGTTGAAAGCAGCAGAAAAGACGCACAGTACTTGAACAGCCTGACATGCCATTGGTGCTTGCAGATCTGAGGCCAGCAATGGGGGAGATTAAGGTTGACACAGTGGTGACAATGCACGTCATCGTGAGAATGGCAGGGGTTGGCAAGGCGCAAGGTGATAGCAGCTGCGCTTTCCATGAGCTTATCAGTGTCGACTAAGTCAATTCCTGAGGAATGTTGCCTTCAAGCCATGACATGACATGTCTTAACTCTCATTGTGCAGGACCAAGCTCGAAGGAGAAAGAACGCCAGCAAGGGTGCTATTGCCTTCTTCAATGATACCAGCAGCAGTCCTAGCAGCTCAGTGCCTGGCATTGGAATGAGAGACTTGCACTGGAAGTGCACGAGAAAGTTTTGCCCACCTCGCCATCAGCCAGTAGGAGCACGGGACTACTGCCGCTAGCTTCTGTTTACCTTAAAATGTGCCCAGCTTCTCTGAAGTGCAAATTTCCGCAGCTGCTTCGAATGTGGCTCCTCGCAAGGAAAGTTGAGTGGGTCTGTGGCCAGGTTTTTGTCTTTGTCTGCTTGAGAGGAACGAAGTCAACAGCCAAGCCCTACAATGTAACATATGACTACACTTATTGGAGAGTCTGTGATTTACTGCTAGCAAGTCTTTTAGGAAGTTTCTGCAGTCTTGCCCTGAGGGTGCTAGGGAAGGACAGCTGCTGGAGCATCGGATTTCAAAGAAGGAGCAATGGTTTTCTTCTTTTGTCTTGGTGACTGTGTTCGCAGCATTGCGTGCAGCATGACTGAGTCAGCGAGCTGCCTGTGTTCAAGGAATTGGCTGCTGTTTCAGCTATAATCTCTGTTACATCTCGAAAGCTTTTTTGCTAGGTTAGGGTGACTGCCAGTGTGCGAGTGCCCGCTGGCATTCAGACGGGGTCCAGGAAGTGCAAAGCCGCAAGATCTGATGTGTGAGCGTGACATGGTGCCATCTACCAACTGTGCTGGCATCAGGCATTTTGGGGCTACAATTGAGATGCCGTGACCAGTGCCAGGCCTTGCTAGGGGCTTTTTGCACACGTACATCTCAAGCATGTAAGAGGATTGAATGGATCAGAGAGTGTGCTACAAGTAAAAGCCCAGCTTGGTGGGGGCCCATACAAAAGTCACCAGGCTTGCTAAAATGTCGATTGTTACATAGGGTATCCTGGCTTCCTCAAGTCACAATGTTTGTCAATATAACAACGTTGTCGTGTTAATCATGAAAGCACAATCACGCACGCCTTAATTCTATAGACCACACCATGGCCGGCTGGGAACTTGATCGTTGGGTCCCGGCTGTAGCACTGAATCAAGTCCATGTATGCCACATGAGGCTGCTGGTCAACATGACAATCGCAAAGGGCATTCACATGATCCGGCAAATCTCATTCTAATATATGGACCTTGCCTAGGCCCACCATATACATGGAAAATATCTGCACTTGTACGCCTATGAGGTTCAGAGTCTGACTGAGTCTTCTGCAGTATTATTCACGATCTAATCAACCTGTGCCTCATGACACAACAAAGGACAATGACCACATTCTGCCCAGCCCAAGTGGTACATGGACCTAGACAACAATGAACACATTCTGGGAGATTCTTTTCGGGCACTTTGGGTATGTACTCTCAGGGCCATACAGTGCTCCACAGCTCATCACTTCAATATTTTTTGCAAGCATCAGCCTAAAAAAAGAACATACATTATCAATATCTGAATGTTTTTGCCTCCAGTGATCTGGTGCTCCCAGGGCTGCAGCTGCTTGTCCGCCAACAGCATATAAATGCAGCGATATCAGCGGCATGGAAATACCCGGAATGTCTCATTCACTCAACCCTGGGATGTGGTATTACTTCCAATGGGCAGATGCTGGAATACACGTGGAAGCCACTGCGCAGGCTGCAGCAGCAATTGTGAGGGCAAGTGCCCCCCCAGTACCAACAGATTTGGGCACGTATGCAGAGTCGATGCTGTGGCAATCTCAATTGTGATCCCATGGGCATTGCAATTTCAGACTTTGACAACGCCCAGTGACGACTGCAACGGCTCACCACTCTGCCAGCACAAGCTGCACTGTCCCCGCCGACACCCTTCTCAGCCAGTATGTCCTCACCAGCTGGCACCCTGTCGGCATGACTCACCAGTGTCGGCAGTTACTGATGGCGTCAAAACGCCACCACAGCCGCCTGCTGCCGGAAGAGGTGTCGGCGCGGTATGCATCGCCCAGTCAGGGACAACCTCCAACGGTTCAAGCCCCTTGATTGCCTCAGACCGATGCAGATGCGGCGTCCATGAGCAGTTCCTGGGCCAGCTCAAGATAGAGCAGCAGGTTGCGCGCTCGGTGCTCTGGTCCTGAAGGAGCAGAGAGCTGCAAACCTCAGAGGATCACTGACTTGCTGCAATGATTGAAGCGAGGAATGGAGTCCGCATTGCTTCCAGCTGCATGCGCACAATCACCTGGGAGTTTCTGCTGCACGTAGGCAGCCGCATTGTGGCCCAGTGTGCGCGATGGGCCCAGGTGCTTGGCCACATAGTAGGCGTGCAGCAACAGCGCGTCCAGCGACTGGTGGTCATAGACCGGCTTGTTCATGAAGAGGCCCTCCTGCACGCATTTGCATCAGACAATCACACTTTGAAAGCCCTGCATCAATGATGCACCAAGGGGAAGTGGCAACAGCACACATGTGGATACCAGACTGTGGTGGTGAATAACAGGGAAGGCGCACATCCGGCATGGGGAGAGCGGCGGCCTTGCGGGCATAGTAGTAGGCCGCAACGCGTTCGCGGAGCCAGCAAACCTCCGTGCCGGCAGTGCCCTGCGGGCAGGCGTCCATCAGTTTGTGGTGGTGCCAGCACAGCCAGATGAGCGGCTCCGCCCGCCCTGGGAATAGGTGGTGCGCCTTGAGGAAGTCTGTCCGGGGATCAACCGTGCCCAGCGGAATACGGTCATGCTTGATGCGCCCCTGCAGCCAGGACATGCTTCATCAACCCTGCTTCCCAGATGAGCATGACATGCAGGTCAAACGCCTTTCATCCGTGCGAACAGCTCAGGGGTGCAGCACTCCGGCATGCGCATGTGTCTTTGGGCTACACAATGAGAAAGTGCCGAGGGCATAAAGGACGGTCAAAGGGGTTTTGCACCCGGCGCATGTGGGCCTCGAAGACCTCCTGCTGCCAGCCACCCATGTCGATGCGCTTCTGGTACATGTCCAGCGCGGCCGGGATGTCATCCACCAGGTCCAGCGTCTGCGCCAGGTAGAACACAACGCGCGTGTCATGCGGCTTCTTCTGGTGCTCCGCCGTCAGCAGAGGCAGATCCAACTGCGCACCCACAGTGATCTCAAAGATTTCGTCTTTAGAAATTCTAATCACAGCGAGGTTTACAGTGCCAGCACGCCCATATTTGCAATTGTGTGGGTGTTTTCAGGTGAGAAGGCAATGCTTGAATAAGCCTGTCATGGGAAATGAGAGACTGCGCACATTCTTCCAGCGCGTGCTGGACTTGTTGTGTGTGATGGGCAGATTATACATCTTGATGACGGGGAAGCGCATGGCGTCGTCCACACCAAACTGATTCATGTAGCCGATGCCGGTGTGCGAGGGGCTCTGCATAGGGCATCCAAACTTATCTACAGATGTTTCCATCATCTGAAGGGCTGCCTCAGCACGCCTCCTCAGTCAGCTGGGTACCATATGAACAATAGCAAAATGCCATGGCAGAGAGAGCACAAACCTCATGGACCGGGTAAAAATAGCGCCAGCCGTTGTCGGTGCCAACTTCATCTGTGGGGAAAACCCGTGTAGTATAAAAAATGGTGGTGCCCGAGTACAGTCTGATCTGGACGGCCTTTGCGCAGACTGGAATCGATCTGTGCAGGCACTCGCGTTGCATGCGCTTGGCCGCCACCCGCAGCCGCCACGTGTTGTTCACCGCATAATCCGCGTCCACCATGAAGGCATATGCGGTCTTGTCACCATGCGCCTGCAGAAAAGAGAGATTGCTTTTGGCAAGGCCTTGAATGCATCCAAGATCTGAGTCTGCTGTGCATGTGGCATTGAAGGGAGCAGGTATCATCAGTCTCAGAGGCTGTTAACACAGAGAAGCAGTGTCTCTCTTGTGGCATGCATATGTGGGGACTTGGGGCTCTCACCCGCAAGGCAAAGTTACGTGTTGTAGAGAAGTCCACAAAGGGCTCCTCGTACAGTTGCCCAGGGTAGCCCACCATGTACTCCCGGATGGCATCCTGCATAATCACCATTGTGTAATGGGTTTCCAGGTCATCAATCTGTGATCCAGGAAGACAGGTGCATAAGTGAAGAAGGCTGCACACGGAGTGTGGAGCATAGGAGCAGATGGCACCTGAGTGCCGTCAGTGGACCCTGTGTCCACAATGGTCCAGTAATCGATCATGTCACGCATGCTCCCCAGCGTCGTGTTAATAGTGGCCACCTCGTCCTTCACAATCATGACCAAGCCCAAGGCTTTCTGCTTGACCAAAGCACAGATCCCAGTTTTTTTAATTTGGTGATGGAGGGACATACATCAAATCACACTCATGCACACAATGTTGCAGGAAGTACATCCATTCCTCTATCACAGAGGTTAAAGGGCAGGCCAGGCCAGGATAAGGCAGGTAAGGCAATAGTACAGCCTACATCTCTCATAAATGACAGCAAGGATACTCAACACCAGGGCGCAGACCTGCTCCAAGGGCACCTTGTTAGGGTTGAAAGACTGGAGGTCTTGAAGGGCTTTGTCCACGGCTTGGTATGCATTCTGGCTTGTCAGAGCAATCCTCGTGCTGTGCAGGCACAAGTAGGTGTTTTTGCCGTGAAGTAATGCAGACATGCTCCTGAGACTATGACAAGGCAGTAATCCAAAACAAGCAATCAGTAAAACCCCCGTAGCTTTACATGAGGTCACCCTGTAAATATTAGCTAACAAGAGCATCTCCCTGTGGCTGTGGACAGTACCTGGAAGGGGAGATGACCAGGCGTATCGACTCCTCCATGACATCGCCAAAGGCAGTCAGGCCATCCTCGCTGGCAAACACCAGCACAGCTGGCCGCTCATAGAAGGGCTTGGGAGCATCACCCGGGCTCAGCCCACTGTCAGCCACGAAGCGCACCACTGGGATTTCCAGCTGTGCTGCAAAATCTGCCACGGCCCTCGCGGAGTCTCCTGTGACACGTGATCCATTGTCATAGGTCCTTCCACTGATGCCTGCTTACATCTTTCCTTGATCTGGTATGCACCATGCATGCAAAGACGTTGCCATCATATTGTATAAATCATGAAGGGGTCTTAAGAGAAGCAGAGGGGCGCACCTTGACATAGGATGGCATCAAACAATGCATCCTCCGGGGCCGGTCCACTGGCCAGCAGCTCAAGGATGCCCTCCTCAGGGAGTTTGGATATGACACTGACTGCATAGCCAAGCTTCTCCAGACCCCGTGCAAAGGCAGCGAGGTCGTGCATGCCCGTCTTGTGGGCTGCTTGACCTGTGGCATCCTGCTCGGGAAGGATGGCTAGGCGCAACTGCGCTGCATTGCAGCACGTGAGCAGGAAGAGGGCTGCCACCAGGGGTCCACGCCTCATAATTCTACAATTGCCCCTCAATTGATGATCGCCTGTAAGCATTGGAGCACATGATCAGCATCCATGATAATGATTGTATGCTTGTCCCGCTTTGACGGTAGACCGGACGACAGCAACAGCTCAGCCCAAATTCTCTATTTCAAGATGGAAACAAGTTGATCTTAGAATTGAAGTGGCTGGTGCCAGCATTTGACATCAGTACCCTTGATGGGAAGAATGAGGATCCCAACTTGCACAAATATGTTCTTTCTGGCTGCCACACAATTTTTCACTGGCTTACTCCTTGAACGTGTTCTTACTCCTCTATTCAACGATCAGTGAGACGCAGTGATTGTTATGACAGTCACATTGTGAACATATTACCTACCAGCATAAGGTCTTCTTAAGCAGATCCTCGCGTAAATTGGAGGCCCTCTTAATCTCACATCCTGCTCATCAGCTGCAATCTCCGGTGCCTTCAAACTCCAAGGTACTTTTGGAGATACAAATTGACATTTAGATTGCAATGCCTTTGCTTCAATCGCATGGCAATCAAATGTGAGATCCAGGATTCCAATTTGAATTGGCGCCAAGTCCAAGTAGTCTGCAGGGCTCTTGCCCGGAACCCTGCAGGCAGCTGCAGGGTTTGAGGTGACGTGACGTCAAACCTTGGAATTACTTCCGTAATGGGAAATTGTGGACATCTTTTCGAATGTACTGATGGTTAAGCACGCCAAGATGTGGGAGGGTTCTGATCAGCATTTTGCTCTGCTGTCCTAACGTTGAAAAGCCCTTATGGCAGAAACAACCTTTGACATCCTCGAGCCGCACCCTGACATCCATGGCTTGTTCATGCATTTCAATGAATTGTACTTTGAAGGCACTCTAGGTGCCGCTTCCGTTCAATGGAGCAGCAAGCGCATGACAAGGTGAGCTGTGAAACTTGTAACATCGAGCTATTTGTGACACACGCTGATCACATTCTGATGGGATGCGATTGAAACTCCTTTGCTTTGCAGCTGCGCGGGCACTTGCACCTCTACAAAGGAGGGCGGCTGTGTGATCAGATTGTCTGAGCCGCTATTGAAGGTAGGGGTTGCCTGGCTACTGCAGAAGAACGAACACAGGCCACTGATGTAGATCGGTGGAGTAGTACTGACCGTCTGTGTTATTTTGGCATCCCAGTATCGACCAAGCAAGGATCTCAAAGAGGTCCTGCTGCACGAGATGATACACGCCTACATCGCCCTCAATAAAGTGAGTATCACTCCGCGTCCCTGCTAATAATTGTGAAGGATTTCCCAGGCTGGTCATTGATGGACGCGTCTTTGTGTTGACAGGTAAGAGATTCTGATCATGGGCCAAAGTTCTGCAAGCGCATGCATGAGATCAACACCGCCAATTTTCCCGACTCTCAGGTGAGGCCTGCTTTCTTACTGGTGGAGGCACCACCTACTATACTTTTGTTTCCATCCCCAGGCAGGAAGGCGGATGCACGGAACAAGAGCTTTCCAGGATGCAGTGTAAGGGGCCAACCCGTGATGCACATGTGCAATGTTCTGCAGAGGCCGCCAGGCGGCTACAACATCACAACTCACCACAGCATGATTGCAGAGGTTCAGAACTATCAGACGCACCACTGGGAGTGCGACCGCTGCGGTAATTTTGTCAGAAGGGCGATGAACAGACCACCCCAGGCACGGTGTTGTTTCGGTCAAGACAGACTGGTTCTGAACTGGTCGTTTGCTGAGATTATTAATGATTTCCAGATGTGACTGTGGGCTGACTTGCTTTTTTGTGTGCAACAGGAGGCAGACTGCACGAGCAGGATGGGCAAGGGAAGTGATTGCGTAGATCCAAGATGTGCTTTCCACATGCACATTCGGTATTGCGGTGGTTCCTACACCAAGGTAAATACCTGCAGCCATTGTGGGCCTTCAGAGGATAAGATGCCGTGCACACTTGTACACCTTATTTTCATGGCACACTACGTAGATGCTGCTCTGTTGCATAGAACTGCCACATAACATGCCGCATGGGTATTTGCCCAGGTGAAAGAGCCGGAGGGGTACGTGGACAAAAGGAAAGGCAAAAAGAAAGGGAAGGGAGAGGAGGCGAAGTTTGCTACTGCGGATGGGCAACCTCTGCCGGTGAAGCGGCCTAGGAGCACGCCCAACCAAGGTGTGCCCACCAATTTATCTGACTCCTTTGCCATGAAATCGTTTGGAATGTGACAAATGCCACAAGGAATATCATCCCTCGAGGTGCTTGCGCAGGTTCTGTGCAGATCACGGACTTCTTTGAGCGCATCATCCCGCCAGCAGGATCCGCAGAAGAGGGCACAGAGCAGCGCGCAGATGGCACCCCATCCCGCGCAAAAGCGGTGCTGGGGCGGGGTGAGACGCCAGAGCAGCGGAGGCGGCTGCTCGCAGATGCGGCGCTGCGGCGGCTGCAGGGCAGTGCGGAGGCCGTGGAGGCAGACGCCAAACCAAGCTTCTCTGCAGGGCACTCAGAGAGCAGGACTGCCCCAAGAAAGCAGGAAATTTCCAGCGACACGACTGCCCTGCTCAGCAGCAGCAGGAGCAGCAGCGGCATCAGAGACCACAGCCAGCGCAATGGTACAGAGGACAAGGCGGGTGTCTCCGCGGAGCCGGACTGTGTGATCATTGACAAGGAGGGCCCAAGCACCAAGATTCAAGAGAGCAGCGTGGCAGGCGGCGTTGGCAGCACACCCAGCATCGGCGAGTGGGTGGACCTCGTGGAGGCAGATGAGAGCGATGCTGCGGCTGGCAATGCACAGCAGCAGAAGACGGTTGTGTGCCCCTGCTGCGGCACGCGATGGGCGGCACTGGCCGTCTCAGATGCTGAGCTCAATGCGCATGTGGATGCCTGCCTGGCGGGCCAAATCGGATGACCAGCTGTGCTGCAGCTAAAGCAGTTCTCGCAATTTTGGGGGGCCGTCTACGTATTCTTTTGTGTGCTTGGAAATGTACAAATAGGCCATGCAAGTCAGCGTGCCAATTGTTTCTGTTCAAGGGATTGAGAATCTGATGAAGAAGTAGATTTGAAATAGAACCAGCTATAGAATATCCAGGAGAACAGACAAGCATGCACACAGAGCACTGTGAGGTGTCCAGAACTTTCTGCCGTGCGGATCTGGCCATCTCGCTGCTTTCATGTCCCTCAAAGTTACAACTCTATCTGCTGATGTTCAGTCACGTGCGGATGGAGCTGTGTGGCCGGGTAACTTATGTAATCAAAGAAGTCCAGACTGCGATGAGATCTGCACACACACATCCAGAATTCTTTAGGGCTGGTACCACATTCAGCACATGAAAGCAAGACTACTGTGTGGTTCAACAATCACCTGTGCTCTTCAAGAGGCAGAGGGGGCTTTTTGTGTACTTCACTCACACATGAGAAGCTCAACCTGAGTGCTTTCACGAAAAGGTTGGGATCTGCTGAGGCAATCTTGCATGAGGGCCTCTCAGCCATCGAGGACAGCCAAGCTCCAACAGACCCTCCACACGCTCTTTGAACATCATATGCCGCGAATTCGGGCATGGCAAGCGCGAAGCGCTCTATGAAAGGAAACAAGATCAAGTCTGCCTGCATCAACGGCACACATGTGTTGCTCTGCTTTCAACACTGTTTACCAATCAATGTGTGTTCATCCACTGTGTTGGCGGTGGGATGTCGCCAACAGTGATCATGTTGTTTCAGGATTTTGACAACACACACTTACCAAAGAGACAGCCGAGCCAGTGAGAAACGGACCCCCAGACTCCAAAAGCGCTGCATCCAACCTCTTCAATTGTGCCTCAAAGGACTTCCGCTGAGAGTTGCTTTGTGCTGTGCCAATTCCCCACGATCTGCATAAATTCAGGCCTTGCTTACCCTGCCAGAATGGATCATTCCCCCCTAGCTACCATGAAAACAGCACACTGGCAATCAGAAGCGATGCATACTACATTCGTACACTCTATTTGCAACACTGCTGATTACCTTCCCGTCCTCCCAGCCAGCAGCTCTAGACCTGCTGAATTGATGGTGCTTGATGAGGAGATCAGGGCATTCATCGTTCGCCTCCCTGCCTCATGAGTGGGCACCAGGTTGGGGCCATCCAGCCTTTCGTTGATCCATCGGCAAATATCTATGCTCTCTGTGATGATGCTTCCCCGGTAACTAGTAGCAGGTACCAGCTGTTGGCTGGAGATGGATCGGTAGAAAGATGGTTTGTCTGCAAGGTCAATCTGGACTGCTTGGAAGTCAGTCCCCTGTCACGGACATGAGCTTGTCAGGGTCTTGACCACCCCTGCACAACATGCATATTTTGATTATTTAGAGATATAGGTAGCCGATCACCTTTTCTAGAAGAGCAAGCCAGACCCGTTGTGCGTAAGGACACAGTGTGTGAGTGTAAAATACAATGCATTCGCTGTCTTTCCAGGCTTCAGCGATCGCATGTCCGTCTATGATGGGTCTGGCCATGGCTGAGATCGTTGTTGTTCGTCTTTGTCCAAGAATTGAACTGCGCTTCATCAAGTATGCAAATGACCTGGGTGTCAAATGAACGACCAAGGATGGAGGAAGGTGCGGGGTAAAGCACTGCCTCATGGCAAATTGAGTGGATGCCGACAAAACCGATCGGCTCAGATCACCAACGTGGAACAACTTGTCTACTGCGGATCAATGTTAAGAGACAGATTGATGCGCTTGTAAGCTTAGAAATGACGTGGTGGAATGGCTCGAGAGCAATGTTGGCCTTCTGAACATCCCAAACTATTGTCAGAGATCGCAGCTTCCCTTTGGTGGGAAGCTGGTTGCGGGAAGCCAGTCGGATGCGCACCTGAAGCATGCTCTTACGAAGGACAAGGGAACAGCTGCTAGGGACTCGCGAGGATGTATACAGATTCGTTACAAAAATTGGTACGACACTTCAAAGAGATCTCTAGAGGATCAATCTGTACATCTTTGGATATGGTAATTGTCCACTGGACGTGGCATGGCTCTGACCACGTCCAAGGCCCTTAACTCCAGGTCCTCTGCTAGCTTACCGAACAAACCTTATCTCTACCACCTCAAAAGTGCTTCGCAATATTTTACCTTCCAAAGTCATCAATTGTCAGCCTCACCTTCCAAGCTTCTGTGACTTAAAAGTGGTTGGACCACTTGTGCCAAAAGAACTCAGAACGATGTGCGCAAGTATCCTTGTCCACCCTTAAAGATAAACATGCCGAGGGCATGCACGCAGACTCATCTAACCTACACTGATCTGGCATACCAAATGATACTGGTCATCTATCATGTCAGAAGGTACAATTAAGTGGAGTACATCACCTGGTCGCATGAACTCAATAAAATTAAGAGAAAGCACTGGCAATTGCCTAGAAGATACAGACGATTGTCACACTGCATGCACTATGCCCTTTTGCACGAAACATGAGCTGGCCTGGACCCAAACAGGTACACAAACTTCTGACATTGCATGATTGCAAAATGGAACCTAAACAATCACAACAGCACGGCTGCTGCCCAAACAGGTCAGCGTTTGGGGCACTTCAATGTACACACAACACACAACACACATAAATGCATAAATTACTTAAATTACTTCAAGCCGCGTTGCAGCTCCGCCAGTCTCTGCCGGTTCCTCTCAATGTTGCGCAGCCGCTGCAGCTCGTACTCGTTGGGCTCAGCAGGAGCCTGGTCATCGTCTGGCTCTTGGGCAGCGGGCTCATCTTCAGGGGCGCATCCGACCTCGAGCTCGCGGCGGGTGCGAGCAAAGCGTTCCTTGGTGTGCAGCGCGCAGAAGCCCAGCGGCACGCCATCTGATTCCCGCAGTGCCAGACGGTTCCCGGCGTTGCGCGCGCAGAGCACATGGAACGCGCGCCAGCACACCCCTAATGCGCACTGGATGATGCCGCCCCCTTTCTGCACGGGCAAGAACAAAGATGTCTAATTGCTCCCGCATAGAAATGGACCAGAGAGTGAACAGCAAGAAGGGGCGGGAGCTTGGCAATCTGCGTGCTGGGCTGCATCTCCGCAAGCACTGGAATGTCGAGGGAAAGGGTTTACCTGATGGCACAGCCCGCAATCAAGGTCTGCGCTGGTGGCGGAGAGGCCCTCCAGCTGCACGCCGCTGAGGGTGTCGGGGTGCTGCAGCGTAACCTCCGGCACCCACAGCGCGCATGCAGAATGCACCCACAACTGGCGGCCCCGCCCTGCCACACACAGCGTCAAGATCAGGCACATATTTGCGCAGCCCACAGCACCGATTGAAGGAACTGGCTTGATTCCATGCATTGTGTCAAAAGGGCCCCGCTTACCTCGAGGAGGCACGGCAGTGCCGAGACTGGAGACAGAACGCAGCGCGCCGCCAGTCACGGGGCAGAGGAGGCAGTGGGATGCCGCCGGGTTGAGGCCAGCCATGCAGCCGTCACAACGCCACTCTCCCTCAGGAATGGAAGCCACGCCATAACACTGTTGGTGCACTGCCGCCATACAGCCATCGCCGTCGCACAGGAGAATGGCGTTGCTGCAGATGCACACATGCTCCCTCAAGAATCCTGCATCTAAAATCAAAGGACCACGCAACGACGTAGGCACAGCTCAGACCTGGTGTGTCTCTAAATTGCAGTGCCAATCAATGTTCAAAGATTTCGAGCAGGAGGCCAGCTCACTTTTCGCCTCCTTCAGGATCACCGCACACGTCGCAGTGGATGTCAGTGCTGGTCTTGCTAAGCACGATTGGCGAAAAGCTTGGCAGCCTTGCTGGTCCCTGTGGAGCTTCTGCTCCGCCTTCAGCATCATCCGATTCTGCATCGCTCTCCGAATCCTTCAGGCTGACACCCTGCTTGCCACACAGGACTAATTGTCAGCGTGCCCAACTCTTCCATTCACTTCAGAAGTGAAAAATGATACAGAGAGATTTTCAGGTGGCAAAGCTATAGGTCACCATGGATCTGCGTCGTCGCGGCCGCTGACTTGGAGCTGAGGCAGCTACGCCCCTCACATCGCTATCCTCGTCTGATTCAAGTGCATCGCTGTCAAGATCCTCGTCCTCCTCATCGTTCAATGGACGGCGGTTCCTCCCTCTACCTGCACCAAAGATAGGACCATCTCAGTCCACTGAAATCTGATGCGGGTGATAGCTTATAAGGATGATCGAATGGCACACATGAGGGCAGCGAGAGGGACCGATACCGGCCGTCTGCTTCCTTGCAGGGGTTGCCCTGCGCTGCCTGGTGCCAGGTGATGGTGGTGGCCGCGCACGTTTCCTTCCATTTGCTTTGGCTGGAGGCGCGGATGAGGGAAGCCCACTCAGTGTCTCAGAGGACAAAGGCCGTCTCACCCATGATGTGGGATTCTTGAGACAGTACAGCTGGATGCTGATCTGCACGGCGGTGTCAAAGGCTCATTCTTACGTCGGCCTCTAGCAGGTGGTCTTTCGTTAAATTATCAAGTCACAGAGCTGTCAGACAACATAATTGAGCAAGAGGATAAGGCAGACCTGGCGCAATGCTCGGATCTGGTCTGCTAGGACATGCAGCTGAGCACAGGTGAGCACGATGGTTGAAGCATGGTCGCCCCTTGCTTGGGGTGGCTGAAGGCGAATGCTCCGATCCTGAGCCATCAGTCCTGTGCCTGGATTCGCTGCAGGCACACAAAACACCTCCTTGCAGTCAACGGCTGATGGAAATGTCAAGCCGAAGGATTTCCGCTAGACAATTGGGCATCAGCACAAGAAGTTGTCAGCTAAGCAGCGCATTGCACTGCATCGCGACGCAAATTACCCATTTGTATTAAGCTCATCACTTGCCCTTGCCTAGCTAGGTTTGGAGTCCAAGGGGAGCAGCTGCAGCAGTGCACAAATAACACTTTGTCCTTGGATCGGAGGCTCAGTATGAGTAGGAGGTGATTGGTCTCAGCATCGAAATATATCTCAGCCAGGTTTGTCATCATTGCCTATCCAAGGACCAAACTACTCACTAGAAAATCTGCACAACTGTTTATAACACACGGTGATACCATAGCCATCAGAATTAAAAAGCTCGTCTGTGTAATCCACATTGTGTATTCGGCGTTGGATTTCCAGTCGCTTTCATCATCTGGCTCAATTGGCACATAACCCCCCAAATATAATCGCCGTCAGAACCACAGCCAAAGTTTGCTTTCCACAAGTATAGTTCGGAGAGGGACAGTCAGTCGCACTCTTTCTCATCATCCGGCGCACAGAACTTGCACATAGGCTAGAATGACAGAGTTTGGCCTGCCATGCATGAAGGCTTACCTTCTACTCTACTCATAGACTGAAGTACATGTTGCTGCAGGGTTGGCTGCGGCCCGTCAATGGTGCTATTTGGAATTGACCTCGGTGAGGTGGCGGCCCTCCATCAAGTTCACTGCTGGCAACTTGCTGGCAAACCAGAATGATATCATAAGTGAGGTCCGCACAACAAGACCAGATGCATGCAACATACAATTTGGCATGAACTGCCCAATCTTTTTAACACCAAATGAAGGAAAGATTGTTTGTTGCGGGATGCGGATTGTGAAGGATGCCGCCGGTGTTGGGTTTTGGTATCCCTTGAAATAGTGAACCCTACCTGCTTCCTGTGTCATTGCCCCGTGGCCTGTAATCAAAGGGTCACACGCGAAACCTGGAGTCAAGGCTGGGTGTGGGTTCTGCCATCTTTTGCACACAAGTCCACGGATAGAAGTCTGTGTAGAGCTGCTGCCTAGTATAAATTTCTTGAATAGAGGGAGATCTTGAATTACAGCAAATGGCTGAGATCGACTTTCAGGCAGGTGAGCTGGACGGCGTGGAGGGGGGATCTGGGGTAGGCAGCCACGACGAACATGCGGACGCCAACGCGGTGAGTGGATGTATATATCGTTTATTCACTATCGAAGATGCTTGTGCGAGTTGCGACGGAAGCAGGGACACCAAGACACAGACTCTGAAAGAAGATCACCATAGGGAAGATGTCCTGGATGATCTTGGTTGTGGCAGACTAATCCGTTTTGGCATCTTAATAATAAAGAAAGAGTGAGATGAACCCTTTCCAAGAGGCAAACCATGAGTACAACTGCATGTTACAACAGCCTTGTTCTTATGACCTGCGTGTTCCCTGTGGCGTTCGGTTACTGAACCAAGCCACACACGTTGAAACATGAGAATTCATGCTCTAGGTCCGCGCTGGCACGATATCGCTGGCACGAGCATGGCACCGGGGTAAAAGGGCTAAAAAAGGAGGAAAATGCCCTGAATCTGAAAAAGAGTGAAACAAAAAAAGGAAAACAAACCCCAAAAAAAGGAGATGTGCACTGACCTGTGCGGCGCAACACCTGCGCATCCTGCCATAGGAGCTGGAGGCAATGAAGGCACGTCTAGCGCAGATGGAGGCAGAGGCCAATAAGCTCCGCGAACAGCAGGTGATCAGCTGAATCCATGTGCGCTGTTGCTGTGGCGCAGCCTCCTGTAGCACAATTGCATGCGTATTGCGTCAGCGGTGCTGTGCTGTGTGGTCCACTTTGTTTGCTGGTAACAGGCATGTACAGAGTGGCCGAATGTGTTGGTGTCTCCACAGGGCAAGGGCGAAGATTCTACCCTTGGCCGCACTGATGGCGCAGATGCAGCCTTGCGGGAGGATGCGGACAACAGGTCGGTGTATGTGGGCCAGGTGGACTACGCATGTACACCTGAGGAGCTGCAGATGCACTTCCAGTCCTGTGGAACCGTCAACCGAGTCACCATCCTGACTGACAAGTTTGGCAATCCGAAGGTGCCCATCTAATCCTAACTGACAAATGCAGCACAACCACAATTTTTGCTGTCATGAGTGCTGCATGTTGAGGGTGCCTTTTCTAAAAACATCAGAAGCTCTGAAACAGAGCAGAAAGAGCCCATTACGCAGTTGCAGCTTCTTTGCTGTAAGCCAAGGCATATTAAGGCCCAATTTGAAAATCGACGGAAAGTGACTACATGTGCTTTTTGGGGGGTTTGCTTGCCATGCAGCGTAGGATGCGCTTCCAAAGTTGATTAGACGAAGAATGCACCGCATCCTTCTCAGTCCCTATACCTTTGGCAGGGGTATGCCTACATTGAGTTCCTGGAGACGGACGCTGTGGCAAACGCGCTGCTGTTGGACAGCAGCGAGCTGCGTGGGCGCGAGTTGAAGGTGCTCCCAAAGCGCACCAATGTGCCGGGCCTCAAGGTGCGGGGGCGCGGCAGAGGTGGCTTCCGCGGCGGGTTCCGGGGCGGGTTCCGAGGCCGCGGCGGAGGCGGCTACTATGCTGGTGGTGGCGGTGGAGGTTACGGGTGAGACCTCTCTAAGTATGATACCAAGGCCTCTGATTTTGTGATGCAGTATTCGGCAAAGGTTGCTGGACTGTTTTCCCTGACGCCTGTTTCGATGCTTGCAGGTATGCACCCCGCGGGCGCAGAGGGCGGTTCTACAGTCCGTACTAAATCAAGACCGCATGACAAACAACTGTGGGGTACATCCTGAGCTGTGGACCATGTGTCGAGACGGAAAGCAGTACAGACATGTGTTTCATACAAGGCGTCAAACAAGATCTTGGCTGCATGCAACCATTCGTCTAGAGTCTACTTAAATTAAGGATAGCCTTGTTGGTGATCCCTTTTCACACGTGCTTTTCTTCCAAGGTCTGTCTACCTGCAAAACAGTTGGGAGAGGGGCAGCTCGCCTCCGTGCGCCTGCAAGTGATAATACATGCTCGCTTGTAGCCATTACAGAGTAAGTTGGGCTCTGTTGTGGCCATGGTGTGACCAGGGTGATGAGGTCGCCTTGCATTAAGGTCACACTTGACAGCTGTCAAGCCGTGTAGGGCGACCGTGGAAGGCTTCCACCTGATGTCATTTGAGCTTGCTGCTGTCGCGCAAATGGATCCGGCATGAGACAAACGATGTATCTGCGACCTACAGATGCGGCTTGTGACAAAAGTCAATCTGGAGCAGTCAATAATTTTCTGCGAGCCTGTAATGGATGATGAATAGCCACCGCAAAGTTGCATATTCGTTTTCATGTACAACGGACAACAATACAACAAATATCCTAGATAGATGAAGCAGGACTTGAGCGAAAACTTGTAAATGCCTGATGAGGAAGGCAGCCGACTCGAGCAATCTGACATCTGGTCCAGGCAGAAGATGGAAGACATTTTCATTGCCCTTCAAAGAGATAGGCAAAATCAATGTTGTATATTGCATCATTCAGGGCAGCGCATTGTTGCCGATCCTTGTGATGCTTGCGGTGCAGCAAATGTCCGTGCGCACGCCATCGGTGCCTCCGCGGAACCTTGCGCAGGACGCCCGACGCAAACAGCCTGTCATAATCGGCCCATCTACTCTGACACAAGCACAGCTCGAGCAGTCACTGGAATTGTGCAAGTTGTCGCACCGCTGGGTGGACCTCAAGCGGCAGGTGAAGGACATCGCCTTGCATCGCTCCTGGGCCATAGCAGCCTACGAGCGGACACCCACCGCGGAGACCCTGCTGGCATGGCAGGACGCCCACCGCCTGCTGCAGGCCCTCCACACCGAGGCAGCGAAGGGCGCGGCGCTGCAGGCAGGGGTCGTGTGGCAGTTCTTTGGGGAGCAGTCCACCTTCTGGTTCCACCACCTGGCCAGGGAGCGACAGGGCCGCACGGAGCTGCAGGCGCTCAGGACAGGATCAGCACCCGACAGCCGCGGGTGGTGCTGGACCACCCAGCAGGGCAAGACCAGGGCGGCGACTTGCTGCGAGCCTACTACAGTGGAGAGTCAGCCGACGGCCTCTTTGCGGCGCAGCCAGACTCGCATGCGGCGCAGGCACTGGACAGGCGGCTTTCCCCAGAGGCAGCGGCAGCAGGGGAGGGGGATCTCGGTGACGGCAGCGTTTCACTCGCGGAGCTGGAGGCCGCTGCCAAGAGCCTGCCGCGCGGCAAAGCGCCTGGGCTGGATGGCATCCCGCCGTCCAGCCCAGTACGAGTTCTACCTTCGGTTCTGGCCCGAGCTGGGGCAGGAGCTCACAGACATGCTCCAGGAGGCCTTCAGCAGCGTTGCCAGTCCAGCAATGCCGCCATCGCTGCTACAGGGCCGCATCACTCCTTTGTACAAGGGGAAAGGAGCGGACAGGGAGTCTCCGGCCAGCTACAGGCCCATCACGCTGCTGAACACCGACTACAAGCTGGCAACGCGGGCGATCGCCAGCCGCATCGGCCCGCTGCTCAGCCAGGTTGCGGACGCCACCCAGACAGGCTTCCTCCCCAAGCGCTGGATTGGGGACAACGTGCTAGCCCACCTTGAGGAGATCAGCTACTTGGCGGTCACCCAGCAGCCAGGCGTCCTGGTGTTCCTGGACTTCTTTTTTTTTTTTTTTTTTTTTTTTTAAAAGGGGAAGCCCCCGCTATTACACAGGTGCCAGTCGCACGCTTCCCAGCACGCATGCAATAGGATATTTGGGGAAACCTGTCAGAGTTGGGGCACGCAGAGCACTCCCGCAGGAGGATAATGCGATACTGAAGAGAAGCGCAAGCATGAAGGCATACCACAGAAAGGCAACAGAAAGGCTCCTAGCGATGGACATGTCCCAAGCACCAGAGGGTAACCTCATCCCCAGAGGCGCACTCCAGCCCGCCGGCAACGCAACACCGCTGAGGTGACGTTGGAGGACCCACGGGGCAAGCCTAGGGCTTGCAGCTGGAGGCAGGGGTCACAGCAAAGCAGGCAATCATCAATCACTGGCAGGCAATTATTTTTTTTTTTTTTTTTTTTTTTTTAAAGGGGAAGCCCCCGCTATTACACAGGTGCCAGTCGCACGCTTCCCAGCACGCATGCAATAGGATATTTGGGGAAACCTGTCAGAGTTGGGGCACGCAGAGCACTCCCGCAGGAGGATAATGCGATACTTAAGAGAAGCGCAAGCATGAAGGCATACCACAGAAAGGCAACAGAAAGGCTCCTAGCGATGGACATGTCCCAAGCACCAGAGGGTTACCTCATCCCCAGAGGCGCACTCCAGCCCGCCGGCAACGCAACACCGCTGAGGTGACGTTGGAGGACCCACGGGGCAAGCCTAGGGCTTGCAGCTGGAGGCAGGGGTCACAGCAAAGCAGGCAATCATCAATCACTGGCAGGCAATTATGGATGTGCGGGCAACCAGTGGTGGAACAGACATGAAAGGCACGTTTATACGGTTGGCCGACAGGGATGGAACAGGATCGCGTTCGGACCCATTACCACTAGGTGCCGCTCGGGGCTGGCAATGTGACCCTAAACTATGCCTCAATCTGCCAGCAAGGTGGGGCACAAGCAAACGGTGGCATATGGGAGATATGAAGCCGCAAATGAGGCGAAAAACAGGTAGGCTGGCGAGAACTCGACCAGATACACACACCCACCACATTGGAGGCGGGGATAGGCAGGAGGCATCATGTCCAAGGTCCTAGACACCCGCTCAGGTTCAAGGGTGGATACTGGGGTTGGAAACCCTAAACCCTTCAGATAGCCTTCAATGAACTACTGTGAATGGTGAGGAGGACAGACACTAAGGCAGAAGGCCACGGATGACAGGCCAAGGGGATTGTTGGGGCTGCCGGTGAGACAGAAACATCGGAGGATCACTGGAAAACTATTGATAGCCTAAAGCCCTGGGCAGGGTGGTCTTCTGTAAGCTTGCGCCAACGCTCTGGCTCTCCGGCACGGTACTCCACAGGTAGCGGGGCGCACGATGGATCCGTCTGGCCGAGGGATACCCAAGGGGTGAGCCGCGCAAACACGTCCGGTGGTGGGCGAGGCCACCGGCACTGGGTGGCGAGGCCAGTGCCCCAGGGGTGAAGGAGGCACCCCCGGGGCCGTGTTGGGCCGAGCTCGACAGGTCCCTCGACCAGTGGAAGCACGTGACTCGGAGCCCCATTCCGCGCTGGCAAAGGTTAGAGGTAGGAGAGGCGCAAAGCTTCTGGTAGGCAATCTGTGGTCCCAGGGCTCTAAGGCAAAAGGGGTCTCAGACAAGGAACGACAGGCCGGGCTTTGCCGGGGTGGGATCGGGACTGGTGAAAGGTTAGTCATCCGTGCCTGACTATGGTATGACGAAGGCTCTTAGCGCCCATGTGCCCAGAGCACCTATCGCAAAGGCCCCCCTAAGAGAGGGTGTGAGTTCAACACAAGAATCGACACGAGCGGGTGTCATGGCAGAAGGCCAAATGAGAGCATGGTCATACAGATAGCCAAGTTAGAGCCGTGGCCGGCTGGGTACAGTGAATGGTGGATCGGAAGCGTCACGCTGGAAGCGGCACGGGATGCTGGGCACTCCAGTGGATGACTGGTTGCGCGCCCGGCAGCTCCTCCAGCGCGCAGAGGACCGCGCGGTGGCACCATCGCGCCGCAAACTGCTCCCTGGTGATCATCGGGTCGCGTCCGCGAAGCCAGTCGCTGAGCACACCTGCTGTCTGCCGGACGTTGACGGTCGCGAGCCGCCAATCGGCAAGCAGGGCCTTCTTGCAGGAAGACAGGATGCGAGCCGCAACCGCTCCGGGGGTGATCGCCGCCGCATCTGGCTGGTGGCGGCCGCGCTGATATGCTGCCCACAGCTGACAGATTGTAGCGAGCCGCAGGCGATCCCAGAGCTGCCTGAGCTGCCGCGGCGGTCCCCAGATCCTGGTGTCATCGGCGAGAAGAAGGTCGGCGCTGCGCGGTGGCGCGTCGTCTCCGGTCACCGCGGCCCATGTCGCTGCGAACCAGTCCCACACCCCGGCGGCGAGAGGGCAGATGATGAAGACATGGGTGAGTGTGGCCAGCTGACCTGCACAGCTCGGATGCGGGCAAACGTGACCGGCGGGATCGGCGCGGTGGACGTGACGCGCGAAGCCGCCGACGAAGAGCTGGCCATGCAGCAGCCTCCACGCTGTCACGCGCTGCCGCCGGTCCAGATGGGAAGCGTGCACCACTTGCCACACATGAGCCCAAGGTGCTGATGGGTCTGCTGTGACAGCAGCAGCAGGATCAACAGTGACATCTGCTCCCTGTGGCACTGGTGAAGGGCCCGCTGGCGCGCCCGCAGGCCCGCCGCGGTCCCGCAGCGGAACCGGACGGGGTTGCGGCGCAGCCATCCAGATCGCCCAGGAGGAGGGATCAGGCTGCCCTCGAGGCCTCTTGCCTAAGACCTGCGACGCGGTACCAGCAGCTGCAGCCCTGGCCTCCCATCGCGCCTCGAGCGCCCGAAGGCCGCTGCGCTGGTCATCTGTGGTATCAGCCCAGATGGCTGGTCGCAGCGGGCCCGCCGGGCTGGCCTCCCCCTTGCTGATCCTGTGAAGCACCTGTCGCCGCGCGGTGGCCTCCCTCACCACAAACTCATGTGCCGGCCGCGTGCCGAGCCCCCAAGCCTGAGGGTCCTGTACCTGGGATCCCCAGAGGCCAAAGAAGTATAGTGTGGGCGGCGGTGGTGGCGGTGGCTCCGGCAGCTGCTGCTCCCACTCCAACTGCTCCCCTGGCTGCTGCTCCACCTGCAGGTGCTGCTCTGGGTGCAGCTGCTCCGCGTGCTGGCGCTGCTGACGTGTGCCGCTGCGTGGATGCCAGGGCCTGGTGATGTCCCAGTGCTGAACCAATGCAGGCTGCGCGGCCGGAGGAAGGAAGGCGTGCATGGCTGCAACGCCTCCGTCCACTGGCACAAGGGCTCCTGTGCTGCTTACTGTGTGGCTGAGAAGGTAGGTGCTACCTTCGGCTGTGCGAGACCAGACGCGGCGATCCGACGGGTCCGGAGATGCGCACCACATAGCGGCCGGTGGCTGCACCTGGATTAGCGCTCTCCAGGCTGCTGGCAAGGCAGCCAGAAGGATGGGCACGCGCTCTCGCACCATCCGAACCGGATGCTCCGGGCCGCGCACGACATCGCGCAGGTGGCTGATCCTGACCAGGCCAAGCCTGGCCCAGTCCTCCCAGGCAAAGGGCTGCCTGACTGCATCCGTGAGCTGCCTGTTGAAGAACAGTGGCTCACCCATGACTGCGTCGTAGCCGATCGCTTCCGGCTTCCGCAGGTGATGGGGCCGCAGCTGCTGGTAGGCATGCAGGTACTGCCGTACGCGCTGCGGGGCCTCCACATGCTTCGCTGCAAAGGTGGAGAAGAGCAGGAATCTTCCCAGCTGCCAGATGTGCTGCCGCCGCGCTGACACCGTGCCGGGTTCCTGCGCTGCCAGCCAGGCTGTGCTCCTGTACAGCCAGTGGTCGAAGTAGGCCTTCCAGGCCAGCTGTTCCGGCTCCAACAGCCTGCCCACCACCTTGGCCTGGAGAGCCAGGATCTGGGCCTTGATGTCCACCAGCGCGATGCCGCCGTGTGCGGCCGCGCGGAAGCAGACGTCTTTGCTTGGGAACAGCGCCGCCGCTGCGCCAGGGGTCACCGGCCGGTTCGCCGCGACGAAAGTGTGGATGGCTCTGCAGAGCCTCTGTAGCAAGTCTTGTGGCACCGGTATGAAGGTGGCATGGTAGGTGACCATGGAGGCCAGCACCTGTTTTGCGACGTACGCTCGGCCCAGCAGGCTGAGTCTGAAGCCGGACCAGCGGGCGATGCGGGCCTCCACCTTCTCAATGATGGCTGTGTATAGGGCTGTGGCAGCTGCAGCTGGCTGGGTGGACAAGGGAATGCCCAGGTGCTTGACGCCGTCGCTCGAAGCCGCGAAGGTGACCCCCGTGACTGGATCGGGCCCGGCGAGATGGCTGAGGCTGCCAAGCCCTAGGGCCTGGCTCTTGCTGCGCTGCAGCCTGGCTCCTGTGGCTGCGCAGTGGAGGCCCACGCTGGCCCCCAGCACGATCTGAGCATCCCGGGGAGTCCGCGCGTGCACGCTGGTGTCGTCCGCATGCTGGTGCATGACTGGTGCTGGCTCCCCTGAAGGCAGTCTGATGGGCTGGAAAGCTAGCTGGCCTGCAAGCATCCTGGCATGCGCGGCCATCGGCTGCGCGGCAAGCACAAACAGCAGCGGCGAGAGGGGGCTTCCCTGGAAGACGCCGGCGGCCACCGGGAAGGCATCGGTGTGCCAGCCGTTGAAGGCCACTCGCGCGGTCGTGCCGGAGTGCAGAATGTGCACCCACCGCTGCACACCGGGCCCGAAGCCCACCGCAGCCATGCACCGCTCAATCCAGGCCCTGTCAAGGCGATCGAAGGCCTTCTCGAAGTCCAGGAAGACCTGCACGCCTGGCTGGTGTGTGGCCTCCAGGTAGCTGATCTCCTCCAGGTGTGCCAGCACGTTGTCCCCCGCCCAGCGCTTAGGCAGGAAGCCTGTCTGTGTGGCATCCACCACCTGATTCAGCAGCGGCCCGATCCGGCTGGCGATCGCCCGCGCCGCGAGCTTGTAGTCGGTGTTGAGCAACGTGATGGGCCTGTAGCTGGCTAGAGACTCCCTGTCTGCCCCCTTCCCCTTGTACAAGAGAGTGATACGCCCCTGCGTCAGCGGTGGCGGCAGCGCCGGGCCGCCGCCGAAAGCTTCCTGCAGCATCCCTGCCAGCTCCAGCCCTACCACAGGCCAGAAGCGCAGGTAGAACTCATATGGCAGGCCATCCAAGCCCGGTGCCTTGCCGCGCGGCAGGCTCCGGAGGGCAGTCTCCAGCTCTGCGACCGACACGCTGCCATCACCGCGCTCTCCTTCTGCCGCTGCAGCTGCCTGAGGAGACAAACGCTTGTCCACTGCCTGCAGCAGCTCATCCTGGGCTGCCAGCGACACCGGCTGCGCCGCGAAGAGGCCTGCCGCTTCGTCGCCACTGTAGTACTCCCGCAGCACCGCGCCGCCCCGATCTCTGCCGGCTGGGTGATCCAGGACAACCCGTGGGCTGTCAGGGGCTGGACCTGTCCTGAGGGCCATCAACTCTGTGCGGCCCTGCCGCTCCCGGGCCAGGTGGTGGAACCAGAAGGTGGACTGCTCACCGTAGAACTGCCATACGATCCCAGCCTGGAGTGCTGCCCCCTTAGCTGCCTCCACATTGAGGCCCTGCAGAAGCTGGTGGGCATTCTGCCATGCCAGAAGGGTGTCTGGTGCGGGCCGCCGGGTGAACGCCGCGAGCGCTGCGCGGCTGTCAGACTCCAGAGCCCGCTGAGAGGCCCGGCGCTCCGCTGCGAGAGCCCAGGAACGCTGCATGGCCATATCTTTGACCTGCCACTTCAACTCCACCCACCTGCTGCCCTGCGTGACGCCCTCTCCGAGCGGGTGTGCGGCAAGATACTCCGGAATCGCTGCCGTAACGCGATCGCAGAACGGCTGATCGTCCAGAAGATGAAGGGGCAGCCTCCAGGCTGCAGAGCCATACAGTGTGCTGGCTGGAGCTGTAAGGCTCAGGCTGACCCCCAGGTGGTCTCCTGGATAACCAAGAACCTGCCCGATCGCTCGCGGCTCCCGGCTGACCCGCGCCCGCAGCGTCTCCGAGACCAGCCAGCGGTCGAGCCGGGCAGCTGACTGACCTGTGGTGGCAACGTGGGTGAAGGCACGACTGCTGGGGTTGAGGTCACGCCAGACATCGTAGAGCTGATGCTCAGTCTCCACGAGCCGCAGGCCGGTCCAATATCCATGCGTCCTCTGACCGGGCTGCCCGGCGGCCATGTCCTGCTGGCCTGCAATGCAGTTGAAGTCCCCTCCCACCAGAAGGCAACGTGCTGCTGGCAGGCTGGGCAGCAGCTCCTGTGTGTAATATTGCTGTCGCTCCGCTGCGGCCGCAGGCGCGTACACGGAAGCTACCGTGTAGGGCTGGCCACAATAAGTGAAGTCCACTAGTAGGGTGCGTCCGGTGGTGCTGCAGTGACGCACCGTGATGGCTGCTGTGGAGGCTGTGGGTCTTAGTAAGACCGCTACGCCGCGTGACTGGGAGGTGAAGTGGCACCAAAACGCGGGCCCGCTCCAATTGCAGCGAAGCCCGGCAGGCCCCTCCTGCGCCCATGCTGTCCCCTCCTCTGTAGAGCTGTGGTGGGTCTCCTGAAGGAGGATGATGTCCCACCTGTCGCGCTCCAGAAGGTTGAAGAGGCAGCGCCTCTTGTCTCTGTCCCTGAGGCCGTTGACGTTGAGGCTGAGAAGGCGCAGGGAGGGCGATCGGGAGCGAGTCATGGCTGCGAGGGCCGCCGTGCCGGCGGGCCCCCACTGCGAATGCTCCTGGAAATCCTGTGCTCTACCCGCTGCCGCTCCTGCTTTTGCCCCTGCTGCTGTAGCCACCACTCTGTAGGCTGATGCCGCGTACGTGCTGAGCGCCACGGAGCCGGCAGCCCCGCTAGTGCGACCTGCGCCGCACGCTGCGCTGCGCGCGCTGCGGCTGCTCGCGACTCAAAGCCCGGCGGGACAGTGGGTCTCCCCTGCTGACGTGCAATGGGTGCTGCTGGGACCTCTGCCGGCTGCGCTAGGTCCTCCGGTGTCAGAGCCGGCAAGCCGTACGAGTCGTCCGGCAAGCTGTCTGCTCCATGGATGCGACGCAGAGCATCGCAGAGGAGCTGGTGCCGCAGCTCCCTATCTGCTGGTGCATCCCCTCCCGACACGAGCGCGAGTGGTGCATCGCTGTGCAGCCGGCGAATCGCTGCCGCGCTGTCTGCGGGGGAGAAGTGTGTATGCCCTGCCAGCCACTCCAGGCACTCCTCGATACGCTCATCCGGGACGCCGCTGAGGTCCAGGTGCGGAGGGCGACGGTGAGCCGTCTGGGGTGGATCCTCGGTGTGAGGCAGATCCCAATCCATGGGGGTGGCTGCACCTTTATCGCGCACGCGCGATATCCTGCGTCGCAACTCTCGCTGCGGCACCGAGTATGCCTGTGTCTCCCACTCCATCGGTACCGGCGGCGGCGGCGGCGGCGGCGTGTCTTCCTCCATGTCTGTCAGTGCCTGTCTAGCAGCAGGGAAGACCTGTGCACTTCGCGGAGGGGTGCAGTCCATCGGAGTAAGCGGCTGCGTGTCTCCAGCGGGGCGAAAACGCGGGCCTAATCGCGCTACACTGATGGAGCCAGACGCACCCAGGCCAGAGCGGTCGCCACCGGGCGCGCGGCTGGCTTGTACGCGGGCCTCCAGCTGCTGCAACTGGGCACTGGGTGCTGGCTGTGTCCGCTGCGCCGCGGCTGCGGTGCGCGTGTCCTGCGCAGCGCGCTGCCGCTGACGGATCGGTCGAGGCCCTGAGCGGCGCGACGGCTCCGGAGCTAAGCGCTGCGACTGGAAGGAGGATGGCTGGCTGGGCTGCCGCAGCTGCCCCGGCCGCGTGATATTGATCCGGGTGTCACCGTCGATGAAGAACCGCTTTGGTAAGCGGCCCAAGTGCCGGTCCTCATCCGGCGTCTGGATGTATGCAAGGCACGCATTCCCGTTGCCGACGCCATGGGTGCCCACTGCCAACGGTCCTGGCAGGTCGCCGAGGAATTCGCCGCGAACAACGTATGTGTCCCTGGGGCAGCCAGCACAGTCCAGAAGGGTCTGAGTGAGACCCTTTCTGCAGTACTCGTACGGCAGCCCGTGGATGATGATGCAGGTGTGCTGGCAGTGGAACCGCCCAGCAGTGAGTTGCACCGGCACCGCTACGTCTCCGCTGCCCGGCACTGCACGCAGCCGGACAAGCTGGTCCTCCGCTGCCGCATGCCGCGCCGCAGCTGCTGCCGGGACCGTGTCAAACCAGAGCTCCACGCAGCTGTCAGCTGCGCCGGGCGATCCTCGCTGCTTGACTCCCCCGACATGCGGCGCGAAGTGAGCGATTACTCCTCTGGTGACCTTTAGCTCCAGCTGCATGCGCTCCGGGCTGCCATAAGGAACCTCCTCCTGCAGCTCAAGCTGGCCCAAGGCAGCCAGTAGGAGTGGCTCGCTGTCCCCCCACCGGTCTGGCCGCGGCCGGAGAAGCCTTGGCCGGGGAGTGCTCAACGCATGGGCATCCAGGGCTCTCTGAGGCTCCAACTGCCATGACTTGACAGTCTGCATCGTGCTGATCAGGCTGGCCAGGTGGGGGACCCAAGTTGCTGGGCAACTGCTGCTGCTGCTGCTGTGCTCTTCTCTACTACCTTGTGCTCCCCTGTGCTGATTGCTCCTGCTGATTAGCTCTTTAGGGCGTCCACCGTCCGCCGAGGAGGTCTTGGGGCCTTGTTCAAGAGCTGTGGCAGCTCCCTACTAAAGGCCTTGAAAACCCCTCGGGAAGCCTACAAAAGAGGCTCGTGTGACCTTTTCCCCTGCCCCTATTTCCTCCCCGCACTCTTCCTCCCTTGTGACACTTCCCTCCTGCCCCTGAACCCTGTTTAGCTACCACTGGTTGTCAGTATGTGGAATGGTTTTGTGGTTGAAATGCATAAAGTACAGGCACAACTGTTTCAAGAATTCAGGAGAACAACATCGAATCCCATAATATATGTCCCGCAGCGAGTGACCATGGGGATAGTGGAAAAGTGTTAGTCGCTAGTGTAGAGTGAGGAAGGTGGCTGTGCGCATCTGGTCCAGTGGAGACGGGTAACATTCGCGTAAAATATGTATATATATTGTCGATGATGATAGTGGCTGAAAATAAGCTACATTGGAGGCTATCCGGACGTGTGAGCTCGCGGGATGGCAACTGTGTCGTGGTCGAAATGAGTAAATACGCACAAAAGTAGGCAAGTGGGGTATCGATCGAAAGCTGTGAACATTCTCTACACAATGCAAGTGAGAAACTTGAAGATGCTGGTGTATCGGTGGAGAAATCGTGTGAAATCGATGTGAACTCCTCCCGGCTGAGTGTGGGGTCGCGTCCCCGGAGCCAGTCGCTGAGCACGCCCGCTGACAGCCGGATGTTGAGGGTGGCAAGTCGCCAGTCGGCCAGGAGAGCCTTCCTGCAGGAAGACAAGATGTGGGCTGCGAGCTGCCCGGGCGATGTGTGGGCGTCCGGCTGATGACGGCCGGTAGGCTTGGTAGGCGGCCCAGAGCTGGCAGATGGTAGCTAAGCGGAGGCGCTGCCAGAGAGGCCTGAGTTGCCGCGGCGGCTCCCACACCCTGGTGTCATCTGCCAGCAGCAGGTCTGTGCTGCGAGGCGGCGCGGTCTCCCCTGTGACGGCTGCCCATGTCGCTGCATGGCAGTCCCACAGCCCTGCTGCCTCTGGGGCAGCCAATTCGTGGACCCCCAACCATGTGGCCTCGGCCTGCGCCCGGCCTGCGCCCGGCACATGAATTCGTGGTCGAGGAGTGGCGCAAGGTGTTTCACAGGATCTGCAAGGGAGAGGGAAGCCCAATCGACCGACTGCCGCCATGCACCGCTCGATCCAGGCCCTGTCGAGACGGTCGAAGGCCTTCTCGAAGTCCAGGTCCACCAGTATCCACCCTTGAACCTGAGCGGGTGTCTAGGACCTTGGCCATGATGCCTCCTGCCTATCCCCGCCTCCAATGTGGTGGGTGTGTGTATCTGGTCGAGTTCTCGCCAGCCTACCTGTTTTTCGCCTCATTTGCGGCTTCATATCTCCCATATGCCACCGTTTGCTTGTGCCCCACCTTGCTGGCAGATTGAGGCATAGTTTAGGGTCACATCGCCAGCCCCGAGCGGCACCTAGTGGTAATGGGTCCGAACGCGATCCTGTTCCATCCCTGTCGGCCAACCGTATAAACGTGCCTTTCATGTCTGTTCCACCACTGGTTGCCCGCACATCCATAATTGCAAAGAAAAGATTGCATCACATCGATTTCACACGATTTCTCCACCGATACACCAGCATCTTCAAGTTTCTCACTTGCATTGTGTAGAGAATGTTCACAGCTTTCGATCGATACCCCACTTGCCTACTTTTGTGCGTATTTACTCATTTCGACCACGACACAGTTGCCATCCCGCGAGCTCACACGTCCGGATAGCCTCCAATGTAGCTTATTTTCAGCCACTATCATCATCGACAATATATATACATATTTTACGCGAATGTTACCCGTCTCCACTGGACCAGATGCGCACAGCCACCTTCCTCACTCTACACTAGCGACTAACACTTTTCCACTATCCCCATGGTCACTCGCTGCGGGACATATATTATGGGATTCGATGTTGTTCTCCTGAATTCTTGAAACAGTTGTGCCTGTACTTTATGCATTTCAACCACAAAACCATTCCACATACTGACAACCAGTGGTAGCTAAACAGGGTTCAGGGGCAGGAGGGAAGTGTCACAAGGGAGGAAGAGTGCGGGGAGGAAATAGGGGCAGGGGAAAAGGTCACACGAGCCTCTTTTGTAGGCTTCCCGAGGGGTTTTCAAGGCCTTTAGTAGGGAGCTGCCACAGCTCTTGAACAAGGCCCCAAGACCTCCTCGGCGGACGGTGGACGCCCTAAAGAGCTAATCAGCAGGAGCAATCAGCACAGGGGAGCACAAGGTAGTAGAGAAGAGCACAGCAGCAGCAGCAGCAGTTGCCCAGCAACTTGGGTCCCCCACCTGGCCAGCCTGATCAGCACGATGCAGACTGTCAAGTCATGGCAGTTGGAGCCTCAGAGAGCCCTGGATGCCCATGCGTTGAGCACTCCCCGGCCAAGGCTTCTCCGGCCGCGGCCAGACCGGTGGGGGGACAGCGAGCCACTCCTACTGGCTGCCTTGGGCCAGCTTGAGCTGCAGGAGGAGGTTCCTTATGGCAGCCCGGAGCGCATGCAGCTGGAGCTAAAGGTCACCAGAGGAGTAATCGCTCACTTCGCGCCGCATGTCGGGGGAGTCAAGCAGCGAGGATCGCCCGGCGCAGCTGACAGCTGCGTGGAGCTCTGGTTTGACACGGTCCCGGCAGCAGCTGCGGCGCGGCATGCGGCAGCGGAGGACCAGCTTGTCCGGCTGCGTGCAGTGCCGGGCAGCGGAGACGTAGCGGTGCCGGTGCAACTCACTGCTGGGCGGTTCCACTGCCAGCACACCTGCATCATCATCCACGGGCTGCCGTACGAGTACTGCAGAAAGGGTCTCACTCAGACCCTTCTGGACTGTGCTGGCTGCCCCAGGGACACATACGTTGTTCGCGGCGAATTCCTCGGCGACCTGCCAGGACCGTTGGCAGTGGGCACCCATGGCGTCGGCAACGGGAATGCGTGCCTTGCATACATCCAGACGCCGGATGAGGACCGGCACTTGGGCCGCTTACCAAAGCGGTTCTTCATCGACGGTGACACCCGGATCAATATCACGCGGCCGGGGCAGCTGCGGCAGCCCAGCCAGCCATCCTCCTTCCAGTCGCAGCGCTTAGCTCCGGAGCCGTCGCGCCGCTCAGGGCCTCGACCGATCCGTCAGCGGCAGCGCGCTGCGCAGGACACGCGCACCGCAGCCGCGGCGCAGCGGACACAGCCAGCACCCAGTGCCCAGTTGCAGCAGCTGGAGGCCCGCGTACAAGCCAGCCGCGCGCCCGGTGGCGACCGCTCTGGCCTGGGTGCGTCTGGCTCCATCAGTGTAGCGCGATTAGGCCCGCGTTTTCGCCCCGCTGGAGACACGCAGCCGCTTACTCCGATGGACTGCACCCCTCCGCGAAGTGCACAGGTCTTCCCTGCTGCTAGACAGGCACTGACAGACATGGAGGAAGACACGCCGCCGCCGCCACCGCCGCCGGTACCGATGGAGTGGGAGACACAGGCATACTCGGTGCCGCAGCGAGAGTTGCGACGCAGGATATCGCGCGTGCGCGATAAAGGTGCAGCCACCCCCATGGATTGGGATCTGCCTCACACCGAGGATCCACCCCAGACGGCTCACCGTCGCCCTCCGCACCTGGACCTCAGCGGCGTCCCGGATGAGCGTATCGAGGAGTGCCTGGAGTGGCTGGCAGGGCATACACACTTCTCCCCCGCAGACAGCGCGGCAGCGATTCGCCGGCTGCACAGCGATGCACCACTCGCGCTCGTGTCGGGAGGGGATGCACCAGCAGATAGGGAGCTGCGGCACCAGCTCCTCTGCGATGCTCTGCGTCGCATCCATGGAGCAGACAGCTTGCCGGACGACTCGTACGGCTTGCCGGCTCTGACACCGGAGGACCTAGCGCAGCCGGCAGAGGTCCCAGCAGCACCCATTGCACGTCAGCAGGGGAGACCCACTGTCCCGCCGGGCTTTGAGTCGCGAGCAGCCGCAGCGCGCGCAGCGCAGCGTGCGGCGCAGGTCGCACTAGCGGGGCTGCCGGCTCCGTGGCGCTCAGCACGTACGCGGCATCAGCCTACAGAGTGGTGGCTACAGCAGCAGGGGCAAAAGCAGGAGCGGCAGCGGGTAGAGCACAGGATTTCCAGGAGCATTCGCAGTGGGGGCCCGCCGGCACGGCGGCCCTCGCAGCCATGACTCGCTCCCGATCGCCCTCCCTGCGCCTTCTCAGCCTCAACGTCAACGGCCTCAGGGACAGAGACAAGAGGCGCTGCCTCTTCAACCTTCTGGAGCGCGACAGGTGGGACATCATCCTCCTTCAGGAGACCCACCACAGCTCTACAGAGGAGGGGACAGCATGGGCGCAGGAGGGGCCTGCCGGGCTTCGCTGCAATTGGAGCGGGCCCGCGTTTTGGTGCCACTTCACCTCCCAGTCACGCGGCGTAGCGGTCTTACTAAGACCCACAGCCTCCACAGCAGCCATCACGGTGCGTCACTGCAGCACCACCGGACGCACCCTACTAGTGGACTTCACTTATTGTGGCCAGCCCTACACGGTAGCTTCCGTGTACGCGCCTGCGGCCGCAGCGGAGCGACAGCAATATTACACACAGGAGCTGCTGCCCAGCCTGCCAGCAGCACGTTGCCTTCTGGTGGGAGGGGACTTCAACTGCATTGCAGGCCAGCAGGACATGGCCGCCGGGCAGCCCGGTCAGAGGACGCATGGATATTGGACCGGCCTGCGGCTCGTGGAGACTGAGCATCAGCTCTACGATGTCTGGCGTGACCTCAACCCCAGCAGTCGTGCCTTCACCCACGTTGCCACCACAGGTCAGTCAGCTGCCCGGCTCGACCGCTGGCTGGTCTCGGAGACGCTGCGGGCGCGGGTCAGCCGGGAGCCGCGAGCGATCGGGCAGGTTCTTGGTTATCCAGGAGACCACCTGGGAGTCAGCCTGAGCCTTACAGCTCCAGCCAGCACACTGTATGGCTCTGCAGCCTGGAGGCTGCCCCTTCATCTTCTGGACGATCAGCCGTTCTGCGATCGCGTTACGGCAGCGATTCCGGAGTATCTTGCCGCACACCCGCTCGGAGAGGGCGTCACGCAGGGCAGCAGGTGGGTGGAGTTGAAGTGGCAGGTCAAAGATATGGCCATGCAGCGTTCCTGGGCTCTCGCAGCGGAGCGCCGGGCCTCTCAGCGGGCTCTGGAGTCTGACAGCCGCGCAGCGCTCGCGGCGTTCACCCGGCGGCCCGCACCAGACACCCTTCTGGCATGGCAGAATGCCCACCAGCTTCTGCAGGGCCTCAATGTGGAGGCAGCTAAGGGGGCAGCACTCCAGGCTGGGATCGTATGGCAGTTCTACGGTGAGCAGTCCACCTTCTGGTTCCACCACCTGGCCCGGGAGCGGCAGGGCCGCACAGAGTTGATGGCCCTCAGGACAGGTCCAGCCCCTGACAGCCCACGGGTTGTCCTGGATCACCCAGCCGGCAGAGATCGGGGCGGCGCGGTGCTGCGGGAGTACTACAGTGGCGACGAAGCGGCAGGCCTCTTCGCGGCGCAGCCGGTGTCGCTGGCAGCCCAGGATGAGCTGCTGCAGGCAGTGGACAAGCGTTTGTCTCCTCAGGCAGCTGCAGCGGCAGAAGGAGAGCGCGGTGATGGCAGCGTGTCGGTCGCAGAGCTGGAGACTGCCCTCCGGAGCCTGCCGCGCGGCAAGGCACCGGGCTTGGATGGCCTGCCATATGAGTTCTACCTGCGCTTCTGGCCTGTGGTAGGGCTGGAGCTGGCAGGGATGCTGCAGGAAGCTTTCGGCGGCGGCCCGGCGCTGCCGCCACCGCTGACGCAGGGGCGTATCACTCTCTTGTACAAGGGGAAGGGGGCAGACAGGGAGTCTCTAGCCAGCTACAGGCCCATCACGTTGCTCAACACCGACTACAAGCTCGCGGCGCGGGCGATCGCCAGCCGGATCGGGCCGCTGCTGAATCAGGTGGTGGATGCCACACAGACAGGCTTCCTGCCTAAGCGCTGGGCGGGGGACAACGTGCTGGCACACCTGGAGGAGATCAGCTACCTGGAGGCCACACACCAGCCAGGCGTGCAGGTCTTCCTGGACTTCGAGAAGGCCTTCGATCGCCTTGACAGGGCCTGGATTGAGCGGTGCATGGCTGCGGTGGGCTTCGGGCCCGGTGTGCAGCGGTGGGTGCACATTCTGCACTCCGGCACGACCGCGCGAGTGGCCTTCAACGGCTGGCACACCGATGCCTTCCCGGTGGCCGCCGGCGTCTTCCAGGGAAGCCCCCTCTCGCCGCTGCTGTTTGTGCTTGCCGCGCAGCCGATGGCCGCGCATGCCAGGATGCTTGCAGGCCAGCTAGCTTTCCAGCCCATCAGACTGCCTTCAGGGGAGCCAGCACCAGTCATGCACCAGCATGCGGACGACACCAGCGTGCACGCGCGGACTCCCCGGGATGCTCAGATCGTGCTGGGGGCCAGCGTGGGCCTCCACTGCGCAGCCACAGGAGCCAGGCTGCAGCGCAGCAAGAGCCAGGCCCTAGGGCTTGGCAGCCTCAGCCATCTCGCCGGGCCCGATCCAGTCACGGGGGTCACCTTCGCGGCTTCGAGCGACGGCGTCAAGCACCTGGGCATTCCCTTGTCCACCCAGCCAGCTGCAGCTGCCACAGCCCTATACACAGCCATCATTGAGAAGGTGGAGGCCCGCATCGCCCGCTGGTCCGGCTTCAGACTCAGCCTGCTGGGCCGAGCGTACGTCGCAAAACAGGTGCTGGCCTCCATGGTCACCTACCATGCCACCTTCATACCGGTGCCACAAGACTTGCTACAGAGGCTCTGCAGAGCCATCCACACTTTCGTCGCGGCGAACCGGCCGGTGACCCCTGGCGCAGCGGCGGCGCTGTTCCCAAGCAAGGACGTCTGCTTCCGCGCGGCCGCACACGGCGGCATCGCGCTGGTGGACATCAAGGCCCAGATCCTGGCTCTCCAGGCCAAGGTGGTGGGCAGGCTGTTGGAGCCGGAACAGCTGGCCTGGAAGGCCTACTTCGACCACTGGCTGTACAGGAGCACAGCCTGGCTGGCAGCGCAGGAACCCGGCACGGTGTCAGCGCGGCGGCAGCACATCTGGCAGCTGGGAAGATTCCTGCTCTTCTCCACCTTTGCAGCGAAGCATGTGGAGGCCCCGCAGCGCGTACGGCAGTACCTGCATGCCTACCAGCAGCTGCGGCCCCATCACCTGCGGAAGCCGGAAGCGATCGGCTACGACGCAGTCATGGGTGAGCCACTGTTCTTCAACAGGCAGCTCACGGATGCAGTCAGGCAGCCCTTTGCCTGGGAGGACTGGGCCAGGCTTGGCCTGGTCAGGATCAGCCACCTGCGCGATGTCGTGCGCGGCCCGGAGCATCCGGTTCGGATGGTGCGAGAGCGCGTGCCCATCCTTCTGGCTGCCTTGCCAGCAGCCTGGAGAGCGCTAATCCAGGTGCAGCCACCGGCCGCTATGTGGTGCGCATCTCCGGACCCGTCGGATCGCCGCGTCTGGTCTCGCACAGCCGAAGGTAGCACCTACCTTCTCAGCCACACAGTAAGCAGCACAGGAGCCCTTGTGCCAGTGGACGGAGGCGTTGCAGCCATGCACGCCTTCCTTCCTCCGGCCGCGCAGCCTGCATTGGTTCAGCACTGGGACATCACCAGGCCCTGGCATCCACGCAGCGGCACACGTCAGCAGCGCCAGCACGCGGAGCAGCTGCACCCAGAGCAGCACCTGCAGGTGGAGCAGCAGCCAGGGGAGCAGTTGGAGTGGGAGCAGCAGCTGCCGGAGCCACCGCCACCACCGCCGCCCACACTATACTTCTTTGGCCTCTGGGGATCCCAGGTACAGGACCCTCAGGCTTGGGGGCTCGGCACGCGGCCGGCACATGAGTTTGTGGTGAGGGAGGCCACCGCGCGGCGACAGGTGCTTCACAGGATCAGCAAGGGGGAGGCCAGCCCGGCGGGCCCGCTGCGACCAGCCATCTGGGCTGATACCACAGATGACCAGCGCAGCGGCCTTCGGGCGCTCGAGGCGCGATGGGAGGCCAGGGCTGCAGCTGCTGGTACCGCGTCGCAGGTCTTAGGCAAGAGGCCTCGAGGGCAGCCTGATCCCTCCTCCTGGGCGATCTGGATGGCTGCGCCGCAACCCCGTCCGGTTCCGCTGCGGGACCGCGGCGGGCCTGCGGGCGCGCCAGCGGGCCCTTCACCAGTGCCACAGGGAGCAGATGTCACTGTTGATCCTGCTGCTGCTGTCACAGCAGACCCATCAGCACCTTGGGCTCATGTGTGGCAAGTGGTGCACGCTTCCCATCTGGACCGGCGGCAGCGCGTGACAGCGTGGAGGCTGCTGCATGGCCAGCTCTTCGTCGGCGGCTTCGCGCGTCACGTCCACCGCGCCGATCCCGCCGGTCACGTTTGCCCGCATCCGAGCTGTGCAGGTCAGCTGGCCACACTCACCCATGTCTTCATCATCTGCCCTCTCGCCGCCGGGGTGTGGGACTGGTTCGCAGCGACATGGGCCGCGGTGACCGGAGACGACGCGCCACCGCGCAGCGCCGACCTTCTTCTCGCCGATGACACCAGGATCTGGGGACCGCCGCGGCAGCTCAGGCAGCTCTGGGATCGCCTGCGGCTCGCTACAATCTGTCAGCTGTGGGCAGCATATCAGCGCGGCCGCCACCAGCCAGATGCGGCGGCGATCACCCCCGGAGCGGTTGCGGCTCGCATCCTGTCTTCCTGCAAGAAGGCCCTGCTTGCCGATTGGCGGCTCGCGACCGTCAACGTCCGGCAGACAGCAGGTGTGCTCAGCGACTGGCTTCGCGGACGCGACCCGATGATCACCAGGGAGCAGTTTGCGGCGCGATGGTGCCACCGCGCGGTCCTCTGCGCGCTGGAGGAGCTGCCGGGCGCGCAACCAGTCATCCACTGGAGTGCCCAGCATCCCGTGCCGCTTCCAGCGTGACGCTTCCGATCCACCATTCACTGTACCCAGCCGGCCACGGCTCTAACTTGGCTATCTGTATGACCATGCTCTCATTTGGCCTTCTGCCATGACACCCGCTCGTGTCGATTCTTGTGTTGAACTCACACCCTCTCTTAGGGGGGCCTTTGCGATAGGTGCTCTGGGCACATGGGCGCTAAGAGCCTTCGTCATACCATAGTCAGGCACGGATGACTAACCTTTCACCAGTCCCGATCCCACCCCGGCAAAGCCCGGCCTGTCGTTCCTTGTCTGAGACCCCTTTTGCCTTAGAGCCCTGGGACCACAGATTGCCTACCAGAAGCTTTGCGCCTCTCCTACCTCTAACCTTTGCCAGCGCGGAATGGGGCTCCGAGTCACGTGCTTCCACTGGTCGAGGGACCTGTCGAGCTCGGCCCAACACGGCCCCGGGGGTGCCTCCTTCACCCCTGGGGCACTGGCCTCGCCACCCAGTGCCGGTGGCCTCGCCCACCACCGGACGTGTTTGCGCGGCTCACCCCTTGGGTATCCCTCGGCCAGACGGATCCATCGTGCGCCCCGCTACCTGTGGAGTACCGTGCCGGAGAGCCAGAGCGTTGGCGCAAGCTTACAGAAGACCACCCTGCCCAGGGCTTTAGGCTATCAATAGTTTTCCAATGATCCTCCGATGTTTCTGTCTCACCAGCAGCCCCAACAATCCCCTTGGCCTGTCATCCGTGGCCTTCTGCCTTAGTGTCTGTCCTCCTCACCATTCACAGTAGTTCATTGAAGGCTATCTGAAGGGTTTAGGGTTTCCAACCCCAGTATCCACCCTTGAACCTGAGCGGGTGTCTAGGACCTTGGACATGATGCCTCCTGCCTATCCCCGCCTCCAATGTGGTGGGTGTGTGTATCTGGTCGAGTTCTCGCCAGCCTACCTGTTTTTCGCCTCATTTGCGGCTTCATATCTCCCATATGCCACCGTTTGCTTGTGCCCCACCTTGCTGGCAGATTGAGGCATAGTTTAGGGTCACATTGCCAGCCCCGAGCGGCACCTAGTGGTAATGGGTCCGAACGCGATCCTGTTCCATCCCTGTCGGCCAACCGTATAAACGTGCCTTTCATGTCTGTTCCACCACTGGTTGCCCGCACATCCATAATTGCCTGCCAGTGATTGATGATTGCCTGCTTTGCTGTGACCCCTGCCTCCAGCTGCAAGCCCTAGGCTTGCCCCGTGGGTCCTCCAACGTCACCTCAGCGGTGTTGCGTTGCCGGCGGGCTGGAGTGCGCCTCTGGGGATGAGGTAACCCTCTGGTGCTTGGGACATGTCCATCGCTAGGAGCCTTTCTGTTGCCTTTCTGTGGTATGCCTTCATGCTTGCGCTTCTCTTAAGTATCGCATTATCCTCCTGCGGGAGTGCTCTGCGTGCCCCAACTCTGACAGGTTTCCCCAAATATCCTATTGCATGCGTGCTGGGAAGCGTGCGACTGGCACCTGTGTAATAGCGGGGGCTTCCCCTTTTAAAAAAAAAAAAAAAAAAAAAAAAAAAAAGTTCACAGCGCGCTGGTGCCACCGCGGCGTCCTCTGCACAGTGGACGCCCAGCCGGACGCACAGGCCGTCATCCGCTGGAGCGCACAGCACCCAGTGCCGCTGCCAGCCTGATTGATGCTCTCTTCCACCACACATCTTACCCGGCCTGCCTTGGCCTAAACCAGGTGGCCTGCCTTGGCCTCAAACAGGCACTCTGAATGATCATGCTCTCCTGGCCTTTTGCCATGACACCCGCTCATCTCTGTTCATACTTTGGTCACCACCACAGGTGTTTGGCAGGTCATCCGGGCCCATTGCCTTTTTTTTTTTTTTTTTTTTTAAAAAGGGGAAGCCCCCGCTATTTTTTTTTTTTTTTTTATTTTTTTTTTAAAAGGGGAAGCCCCCGCTATTACACAGGTGCCAGTCGCACGCTTCCCAGCACGCATGCAATAGGATATTTGGGGAAACCTGTCATTGCCTTAGGAAATGGCGGTTGCCTCCTCGGCATTTGTCTCATGTGCACCACCTTGAGCGGGTGTCTAGGAATTTGAACACTCTTTCGGCCTCTGGGGCAGCCATGAAGGCAAGACCACAGACAGGCGAGACCTAGCAATGCACGTCTCCCCTGCTGCACCAGCAGCATCACAGGTCACGCAGGATACCCCGTGCCGGAGGCCCACGGACACGGTGGCCTCGCCGCCATGAGAGAGAGGGCGATTAGAAGGGACACGGTGGCCTCGCCGCCATGAGTCCCTTCTAATCGCCCTCTCTGCCTAGAGGACTGGGACAGGCTGGGCCTCGTCAGCACCAGCCACTGCCGCCCGGAGCACCAGCAGAGTGCTGTGAGTGATCGTGTGCCGTCTGTGCTTACAGCGGTGCCGGCAGCAGGGGTCTCCACAGCGCGTCCAGTCCAGCCACCAGCAGCGATGTGGCTGGGATGTTCTGACCCAACGGACCCCCGAGTCTTGTTGCGCGCAGCAGCAGCAGGTTAGCACGCTTTCTCAGTCAAACAGCCAGCAGCATAGGAGCGCTCGTCCCAATAGAGGACGGAGCACAGGCAGGCCTGCACGCCTTCCTACCTGCCGCCGTGCTGATGCAGCACTGGGACGTCACCAGGACCTCTATCCCACGCACCGGGAAGCGCCAGCAGCCTTAGGAGCAGGAGAAGGACGCTCCTCTCACTCTTCCGCACCTGCCACGACGCACATCTTCGGTCTCTGGGGCAGCAAACGGTCTCTGGGACTTTCCAAGGCCAAGGAAGGTTGAGTAGAAAGTGCGGTGGAGAAAAGGCGTTGGGTCCTGGGCAAGCTTCGTGACAAGAACGCCAGGTTCCCGCGCTGCAGCCTACATTCTAGCCCGCACAGCCCAAGGGACAACCTTCAGACTTCGTGGATTTCGCGGCGTCCTCTGCAGGCAAGGCGCCCCCTAGGCGCACGTGCGGAGGGTGGTCCACAGTTCCCATCTCCTTTTAAAAAAAAAAAAAAAAAAAAATCTCCACCGTTGCGGCTTCCACTGCCAGCATAATCCTGCAGAACTTGCTAGTGCTGCCGTACAAGTATTAGAGGGCCTCACGCAGACTCTGCTGGACTGCGCTGGCTGCTCTAGCGACACGTACGACTTCCTTGGCAATCTGCCAGACACCTGACTTTCGATGGCCCTCAAGTGGGCCATTGACAAGGCCTGCCTGGCCTACATCCAGACGCCGGACAATGACAGACACCTCGCCCTCTAACCGAAGCTTTTCTTCATCGACGGGGCCGGGGCGGATCAGGCTTCCCCGCCAGCAAGCCTCTTCCCAGCCTTAGCAGCAGCAGTAGCTGCTTACAGTCCCACAGCTGCCCGCCGGTCCTCGCCCGATTTGCCAGCGTCAACGCACCGCACAGGGACCCGCGCGCGGCACACCCGGCGCAGCCCACATTCACCCGCACCTGTAGCAGCTCGAGGCTCACGTACAGGCCAGCCGCGCTTCCGAAGACGATCGCGCAGGCCTGGGTGCCACGGCAGCCAGCAGGCTGTCTCTCGTGCCACACAGGCCATCGCTCCGATGGACTGCACTCCTCCCCGAGCTAAGGAGATCCTTCCAGTGGTGAGCCAGACACCGGCAGACATGGACATCCGTGCGCAGCTGGTACCGCCCCCCGCAGCGACGCCATAGGAGTGGGAGACACCTGCTTGCACGCCGGGCAACCGGGGTTGCAAGATTAGGCAGGTGCGATAGTTCTTAGGGTATACTGGCAGGTAGATCAGCGCCTGCACAAGGCCACAGCAGCCTACGTGCCCGGCCCGTCAGCTCCGCCGCTGGGGCTCTCCGGCGTTCCGAGCACGCGCGCCGAGGATTGCCTGGAGCGGCTGGCAGGGCACAATCACTTTCCACCAGCGTCACAGGGATCCGCCAGCTGCAAAGCGATTGGACTCTCGCACTGCAGTCATGAGACTCTCCAAGAGCCAGGGACCAGCCCAACAGAATGCTCTGCGACACACTCCGCCGGATGCCTTCAAATTGGTTGCCCACTTTTTTTTTTTTTTTTTTTTTTTTAAAAGGGGAAGCCCCCGCTATTTTTTTTTTTTTTTTTTTTTAAAGGGGGAGCCCCCGCTATTACATGGGTGCCAATCGCACGCTTCCCAGCACGCATGCAAAAGGATATTTGGGGAAACCTGTCAGAGTTGGGGCACGCAGAGCACTCCCGCAGGAGGATAATGCGATACCTAAGAGAAGCGCAAGCATGAAGGCATACCACAGAAAGGCAACAGAAAGGCTCCTAGCGATGGACATGTCCCAAGCACCAGAGGGTAACCTCATCCCCAGAGGCGCACTCCAGCCCGCTGGCAACGCAACACCGCTGAGGTGACGTTGGAGGACCCACGGGGCAGGTCTAGGGCTCTTGCAGCTGGAGGCAGGGGTCACAGCAAAGCAGGCAATCATCAATCACTGGCAGGCAATTATGGATGTGCGGGCAACCAGTGGTGGAACAGACATGAAAGGCACGTTAACACGGTCGGCCGACAGGGATAGAACAGGATCGCGTTCGGACCCATTACCACTAGGGGCCGCTCGGGGCTAGCAAGGGGACCCTAAACTATGCCTCAATCTGCCAGCAAGGTGGGGCACAAGCAAACGGTGGCATATGGGAGATTTGAAGCCGGAAATGAGGCGAAAAACAGGTAGGCTGGCGAGAACTCGACCAGATACACACACCCAACCACATCGGAGGCGGGGATAGGCAGGAG